TGTGTTTACTATGTTATGTGTTTTCATATGAAATGTGCCTCTTCATTGTGGGTCATAGTCTTGGTCTTAAAAATGACTTCCCTGGATATTAATAGAGCCATTCAGTCTCTTTATGCTTACTATTTTCATGATACATCTTTTCTACTTTCAACCAATGTTTTTATATATTAAGTGTGTTTCTTTGAGATAAATATAAAAATACCTTGCTCAGCACCCCCATTTCTGACAATCTGTATTTTAATGGAGTAATTTTAGATGTTGTGTTTATCCTTTGTAGAGTTTGCTGACTTTCTTGAAATCTGTAAATTTATTACCTTTCATCAAATCTGGTAAAATTTGGACCATTACTCTTAAAGCATTTTTTAAGTAGTCTCCATGCCCAGTGCAGAGCCCAGCAGGGGGCTTGAACTTACAACCCTAAGATCAAGACCTGAGCTGAGATCAAGAGTCAGATGCTTGGAGTGCTTGGGTGGCCCAAGTGGTTAAGCATCCGACTTTGGCTTAGGTCATGATCTTGCAGTCTGTGAGTTTGAGCCCCGCATTGGGCTCTGTGCTGATGGCTCAGAGCCTGGAGCCTGTTTCAGATTCTGTGTCTCCCTCTCTCTCTGCCCCTCACCTGTTTGCACTCTGCCTCTCTCTCTCTCTCTCTCTCTCTCTGTCTCTCTCTTTCTCTCTCTCAAAAATAAATAAATGTTAAAAAAAAGAAGTAGGATGTTTTATCAACTGCCACCCTGGCATCCCTTAAAACATTTTTTTCTACCTCAGTCTCTCCTTCCCCTCTTTCTCGGTCTCCAAATATATATGTGTTTGATTTCTGGATATTGTACTGATTATTGCTGCCCTATTCAATTTTTTCCCCAAATATTTTTTCTTTCTGTGGGGTAATTTCTATAGATCTGTCTTCAAATTCATTGACTCTTTTGGCATCTCTACTCTATTATGTCCATCCATTGAGTTTTTTATTTCAGGTGTGTTTTTAGCTCTAAAATTTCCATTTGTTTCTTCTCATAGTTAATATGTTTCTTCTGCTATTTCCTATCTTTTTATTCATTATATGCATATTTTCTGTTATGTCTTTAAGTATTGTTATAAAGCTGCATTAAATCCTTGTATAATAATTCCAACATGAGAGTCATTTCTGAATAGTCTTCATTTATGGTCTGTTCTCTTAGAGCGTGTGAGCCACATTTTCCTGTTTCTTGATATGTAGAATAATTTGTTTTCTTATTTTTATTTTACACTATTTTTGAGAGAGAGAGAGAGAGCATGAGTGGGGGAGAGGGACAGAGGGAGAGAGAGAGAATCCTAAGCAGGCTCCACACCCAGCGTGGAACCCACCGTGGGGCTCAATCCCACAACCCTGGGATCATGACCTGAGCCAAAATCAACAGTCACTCAACCGAATGAGCCACCCAGGTGCCCCTATATGTAAAATAACTTTAGATTGTGTTTTGTACATTGGGGTTGATATATTACAGATATGTATTCTAAATTCTGTATGCTTCTTCAAAGGGTAGTGCTTTTTTGTTTTAGCAGTTAATGTACTCAAATTTCAAAAGCTCTGTTTTAGACAGTGAGTAATGGCCAAGTCTTGTTCAGTTCTTTTAGCCTTAGCTGGACTGCTTCAGGTTTGCCATGCTCACAGGTCATTAAAGGGTCCAGAAGAGATCTTGGCAGAGTTTACACACAGAATTTTGGAGCTCCCCCTCTCTGGCTTTTTATTTTCAGGAATACCCTTTCTTACTTGCTCTCTCCTGTTTGATGCCCCTTCCCTGTTATGTAGGTACTTTTGGTCCCTTGCTAATGTGAGCATATAGTGTAGAAGGTATCATTGTGTTCTCAGGAGGACTGCTCCCTTAGTAGTGATTTGGCTATTACCTGAAGCAGAGCCACGGTTTGCTGTATTTTGAGTACAAAGCCAATATGATTGGCTGATGAATTGGAAGTCGGGGGGTGGAAGGAGCAGGGGTGTGAGCAAAAGAGCAGGGATCCATGATGTTTATTCCTTTTTTAGCTTAAGCAGTTGGGAGGAAGCTTTACTCATTTTCATGCTAAACAAGAGTAGGCGAAGAGCATGTTTGGCTGGGGTAGAGAGGCTATGGCGGGGTCAAATAGGTGGATAGATATTTAGCATCTGGAGCCCAGGGGAGGAAGTGTGTACCAGAGATCCAGAGTTAGACCTCAGAATAGAATTGGTGTTTGAAACGGTGGGACCGAATAGTTTTGCCTCAGGGGAACAGAATGGGTGCGAAAGGGGTTCCCTGGCACCATGTTGTGCGGCCCTTCCGTATTCCTCCAGCGGAGGAGGAAGAACTGCCGAGGGAGGCTAGGGAAGAGGGGCCGGTGTGGCAAACCCCCGGAGAGTGTAGATCACAGAAGTCAGAGAAGAAAGCTGCCAAGAAGGTCGGAGTTGGCAGCTGGTTGAAGGCTGCTGAAGAGTCAGTGAACCCACAGACAAGAGAGAAACCCTTGGTTGGGCAAGCGGAGGCCATTAGTGGCTTTGCAAGGCCGTCTCAACGGAATGGTAGTGAGAGAGCGGAGCTGTGGACCAACAGGGTCCCGGTTATTGAGGCCGCATGTTCGGCTGTGAGCTTTGTAAGCACCCAGGCAGAACGGGACCGCACGATCGGTGAATGTTCGTCGTCGATGACCACCACGCTTCTAGTCTGCTCAAGGGATCACTTTTCACCTTGAACTCAGGCCTCTGCCTGCTCAGGTTACCTGGCCAACCTAACTGCCTGAGTTAGAGGTGTGGCATTTTCCATGCCTCTCCTGCAATAAGATCGTCCTGCCTAGAGCTGATTGATAGTCAACTGCATGCTCTTCCTTTCGTGGCCTTCCTGATAATAGAAAGTGAATTTTGAATGACAACTACAGACACTTGAGGCTCTCACTCTGTCTACTAAGAGTTACCGTTTCTGTTGTTCAGGTCGGGAGCTCATGAGGCACAAGTCTCTTAATAAGAGCTAGTATTGTGGTTCGGAATCTCGTTTGCCCAAGAAACAAGAATGTTCCAAGTGGTCGGATTGTTACAGTTCATGGAAAACTTCCCATAGAATCAGCATTTGTTTAAACAGGTGTCAGCTTGCTTTTGAGGGCCCCGGGAACAGAAACTTCTATTTCATTACATTTGTTATCTAGGATAATAATTCCCTGAAGGGTTATTATTTCTTGAGTTCCTTTACTTGTTTAGGCAGAAGAAACGGTTCCCTTGGCTCACTGGCAGTCTACCTATTCTGTCCCAGAATTCTGCACTGACCTTTGGACCCACCTAATATTAAACCAACAAAGAAATTGGCCAAGCCAGGTCCTCTGTTTATTTTCTGACTGCTTCGGATTTAGGTGTCTGGTTTCTGTTGCCTCACAGCTACCATATTTGCATCCAGCATGGTATCTGAACTCCTTCGACTTGTTTTCCTGAATTGACTCAGGGTGGTTAATCCCGGATTCTTTGGCTGTGCCAACATTGCTGGGTTGCTGCTTCATTAGAACGGTCCTTTCTGGTTGGGTGGGCTATAACTTACCCCAGTCCACCTGCCTTCAAGGGAGACTTTATTGTCTGGTTCAGCAAGACTCCATTCTAAGCCCTGGCGGTCCCAGACTTGTGAATCTCAGCCACCTCGTTGTAACACTGGCGGCATTTCAGGACCACAGGATGACCTCAGTAATTTCTCTGTGTGTGAACCAGCTGGCCCTCATCTGGGACCTCGGTCTCTCACACACGCCCCCACTCCCAGCTGGCTGTGCCCGTCTTTATTGGAAATTCTCCGAGGATGTACTGGTTTTGATTTCAGAATTATCAAACCCGGCTGATACTGTAAAAAGGTACCTTTCGTTTCTGTTCTGCCATCCCAGAATAAAGAACACTCAGATATTATGAGAAGTCCACGTAAACAACTGTCTGTCTGTTGAAAATGCTTTGTTCTCCAAAGTAAGTCACACACAGGAATTAGTCCTTACCATGAACGTCTTTGCCGCCGTCTGCCTGCTAACTCCGTATCTCATTTGTGCTCTTGTTCTCCTGTCTCTTGGATTAAAAATACTTCTGTAAATAAATAAAAGCAACTCCTCTGATCCAGGAGCTCCTGTTATGAGATTAGAGCGATTGGGGCCATTTCTCCATAAGGCAAGTGTTTCTAAAGCATACTTTTATTATTTGGCCTACTGTAGCACCATTCCGGTTAGCTTCCCTGCATTAGCAAAGTAGCCTGTGTGTCAACACTTCACTGTGCAGCTGAGGCTCAAACCTGAAAAACCAATGCTGACATCTGTGGGTTAATGCCTTTCTAAAACACTCAATTGGTTTTTTAAAAAATCTCTTTGCCGGAATCGTGACATTACATATATATTTTTTTCTTCTGTTTTGTCATGCTGTAGCTGAGGGAGAATGACCTCTGTCCTAAGTCTTAGAACTGAATTAGCCAGGGGTGCCTGGGTGGCTCAGTCGGTTGAGCGTCCGACTTCGGCTCAGGTCATGATCTCCCAGTTCGTGGGTTCAAGCCTCCTGTCGGGCTCTGTGCTGACAGCCAGCTCAGAGCCTGGAGCCTGTTTCAGATTCTGTATCTCCCTCTCTCTGTGACCCTCCCTTGCTCACACACTCTCTTTCTCTCTCTCTCTCTCTCAGAAATAAATAAAACATTTAAAAATAAAAGAACTGATTTAGCCAGATTTAAATGGCTTTCGCTCTGAATGGTCCCGGCCAGTAGATTGTAAGATCATTGTAACCATGGCAGTATTTGTTTCCTAATATTGTGCTTCTAAATTTAAGTGACGAGGTTCATCAGAGGAAAAAACTCATGTGTCTGTTTCAAGTTGCATTTAAACGATCCCCACTTCATTCTTCTAACATCCGAAGTGGTTGTTTCCTGTGGAGTAGCCGGCGCAGCAATTTGCTTAGTCTCCTGTGGAAGTGGTTTTTTTGCCCCGGCAAGCAATCTCTTTTCATAAAGCGGGTTTTCTGGGAAGACATACCTAACCATTGCTAACTTTGAAAAATCTAGATAAAAGAATACGAGAAGCTCGAGAGTGAAGAAGACCGCCTTTGCAGAAGCCGACAAATTTATGACACGTACATTATGAAGGAGCTGCTGTCGTGTTCGCATGTGAGTCCTTCTTCGTGTTCCGTTCCTTCAGGATGGGCAGGAGACTGCTCGCTGAGTTTCCAGAAAGAAACTAAAATAGGAGGAGGGAGTTTAAAAATCGAACAGTAGGCCCCTAGGATGGGACCTATTTCTTCTCCTCTGTCATTTGTCTCCTGGTAATGCTGATATCAGAGCTGTTGCTTCATCCACTCTGAGCGAATTTCCAAAAGCAGAGCTTTCAGGGCAAAGAAAAATGAGGCAAATAACATTGATGGCTCATTCCGATCAGCGGAAGAAAGGGCTGGTCTCAGGTCTAGACTTTCCAAAGGAAATTAGGCTCTATTGTTGTTAGTTTGGCTGTCCTTTAAATAATTCGGCTAATCAAATATTGGTCAACATAAATTTTAAATAGTTTCTGTGGGTTCATGAGGAAGATCATAATTATTACATTAATTTTATTAATAGTTAAATGATAGTGGAAATATTCCCTCCCCCTCGCCCCTCCTGTAAATCAGATAAATAATCCATTCAGTCATTGGGATAAACTAGGTTCCTAGGAAATTATTCCCCCAGAAGTGAGTGGAATAATTAGCAATAAAAATTTACCACATGGGTGCCTGCGTGGCTCAGTCAGTTAAGCGTCTGACATTGGCTCAGGTCATGATCTCAGGGCTCATGAGTTCGAGCCCTGCATTGGGCTCTGTGCTGACAGCTCAGAGGCTCAGAGGCTGGAGCCTGCTTCGGATTCTGTGTCTTCCTCTTTCTCTGTCCGTCCCCCGCTCATGCTCTGTCTTTCTGTCTCTCAAAAAATGAATAAATGTTAAAAAAAAAATTACCACATAATGTCTCTGAGAGAGTTTTCTAAGGGAGTGGCCTCATGGTCCTGGCCTGCTGTGTCCAATGTAGGAGCCACTCACCACCTGTGGCTCTTTAAGCATAGGTTTAAACTCAATAAAATCCAATGGAATGAAAAATTTAACTCCTAAGTTCCTCACGAGCCATATTTCAAGTGCTCGATAGCCACACGTGGCTGGTGGCTCCGGTATCGGACAGCGCAGGTACACACCATTGCTGTCATTGCAGAATGACATTGGAGCAGACGGCACTGGCCAGGATCATGATTTATTTCGGTGCTCCTGTATTTATTGTGTCATGCACAGTCGTAACGGACATCTGTGGCTAACGGGGGTACCTCTTGTGGCATGCATTTCTTTTTTCTTTTTTTTTTTTTTGATGTTTATTTATTTTGAGACAGAACGAGCATGCGCTAGCAGGGGTGGGGCAGACAGCGGGAGAGAGAAACCCCAGCAGCCCCCAGGCTGTCAGCGCAGAGCCCGCTGTGGGGCTCAAACTCACAAACAAACCACGACATCGCTACCCGAGCCGAAATCAAGACTGAGCAACTCAAGGGCCCCGCAGTAGACAGAAATCCTGAGTGGAGCTAATGGCTGATGCTCTGTACTTTGCTACCTTGCCAGAAAATGGCTGAACCTTGGAAAACGCTGGAAGTTCTGTGGGGATGCCTCTGAAACTAGTTTTCATGTAGCTCAGCAATTCAGAGGGTTTTTTGGCAGTGTATGTGCGTTCTAAGCGTTCCTTCTCAGGGTGCCTTATTAAAGAAGGTGTAATTTGAAGTTTGGGGGGAGAACAGAATGTGTAGTTCATGTTGGTGCAGGCTCCGTTCTTTACAGAGCCATTTCCCCTCTGCTGTGGTCACGGCAAGCCTTCCCTTAACCTCCAGCCTTCTACCACACGGATTCACTTTGTAGTCCCGGCATTTAACTCCTACGTGTGTTTCCATGCATTTGTTTGGTCTTACCTAGTGGAATGTTTACATTGCCAAGGCCTCCGTTGTTAGCCAATTAAGGAACATATGCATTTAATAAAGTGATAGTAAGGTTTTTTCCCCCTTTTTTAAAATCACGGTTAATCCTAAATCCTTGTGGGACTAGATATGTTGGTCAGGTGCCCTTGTGCTCGTCATCCTTCTCAACATGGCGTCTAAAAACTCCAGAAATTCAGAGGGAGAAGCCTCTGTGCAGATTGCCCATAAATATCCCAACTGATGTCCAAAGAATGCACGTCAACATAATTACCATAGGCTCCTGCCTAGTAACTGTGTTCAATTATATATTGTGGTATTGTGTAACATAGTCTTACGTTTGATCTTTGTGAAAAAAATACTGTTTTCTGATTTTTTTTAAATAAAAAAGCCATTCTCGAAGCAAGCTGTAGAACATGTACAAAGTCACCTCTCCAAGAAACAAGTGACATCCACTCTTTTCCAGGTAAGGCAAAATTATTTCAAAATAAATACAGCTGGCCCTTGAACTACATAGGGATGAGGGGCACTGACCCCTCCCCTGCAGTCGAAAGTCCACGTATAACGTTTGATTCCCACCCACAAACTTTACTAATGGCCTTTGTTGACCTGGAGCCTTATCAATAACATAATCAGTTGATTAACACTTATTTTGTATGTTTTAGGAATTGTATTCTGTATTTTTATACTAAACCGGAGAAAAGAAAATATTAAGAAAATTATAAGGAAAATGCGTTTGCAATATTGTACTGTAAAAAATCAACATATAAGTGGACCTGTGTGGTTCAAATTCCTATTGTACAAGACTCACTGCAGGTTGTTCTCTGTAAAGGGATGCACACTGCACAAATGAGCCAGGTCTAGCCCTGAATTTGCTCAGAGACCCTGGGCTGGCACTTGTCCGCAGTGCCCCAGCCTCCTTATGTGCAAAGTGAGGAGAGGGATTAACTCTTTCCCTGTGGTTACCTTTAACTCTGATTCCGTGAGATAGAAAGTCAATAAGTAAAATAGCTAATTAAAAAAAAACTTACTCCATGGATCCATTAGCTTTTAGTCTTTAAAACTCAGTATCGATGCCGATTATCGAGACTTGTATGAATACAAGTGCTACATAACTTCCGGAGGCCAGTGCAGCACGCAAGACATGGGACCCCTTGGTCAGAAATTAAGAATTTCAAGATGGCGACAGCAGGGCACCAGATCAAACACCAGGCTCTTGAGTGCCAGCCCTATGGGACTGCACCAGTGACACCCGGAAAACCAACTCTGGTCACTTGGGAAGCATCTGTGGCTTAGGGATGTGACCTGTCCTTCCCTCCCCGGAACGTGCAGTTGAACAGTGCGCGTAACTGTTAAGTAACTGATCACAGTGATGAATCTGTTACTGAAAACCGGGCAAGCGCCGCGAAGGGCAGGTGCAAGAGTGGGAACCTTCACTGGTCCGAGTCTCATCAGTTTCTGTTGTAGATTCCTATTTACACAGTTTGGAATTTCTTTTCCCTCTTTTCCAGCCCTACATAGAAGAAATCTGTGAAAGTCTTCGAGGCAACATTTTCCAAAAATTTATGGAAAGGTATGAAACTTTGTATATATTAGTATACATATGAAATCTTGCATAGGGGTATCTCCTTTTACCCAGTGAGCACTGTCCTTAAAATGTGTGTTGATTTATTCATTCGACAAGCACTGAGCACGTACTGTGCACTGAGCTGTGCGTTAGACTGTTACCTCAGTACTTTAACGTATTATTTAGGATTTGCATATCTTAATGTCTCTTCCTCTTGAGTCACTTTAGCTTCAAAATGGCCTAAGGTTTAAATAGACTATGGAACAGCAACATTAGAAGTAGCTTATTGCTACACGTTTGCTCATGCAAGCCTGTTCTATAACTTTATTCATTGGTTTGCACTTTGAGATCCTGTCCCCCAAAGTGGGTCCAGCTTGCACTTGATTCTTTTTTCTTATATATATATTTTTAACATTTATTCGTTTCTGAGAGACAGAGAGAGAGCACGAGTGGGGGTGGAGCAGCGAGAGAGAAAAAGAGAGAGACAGAATCTGAAGCAGGCTCCAGGCTCTGAGCTGTCAGCACAGAGCCCGATGTGGGGCTCGAACTCATGAACCGCGAGATCGTGCCCTGAGCCGAAGTCAGATGCTTAACCACTGTGCCACCCAGACACCCCTGCACTTGACTCTTTATGTAATAGAACTGAAGGGTCTAGGCAGACGTCTGCGCTCATATATATTATTACGATTCCGGATAAATATGTTCCCTTTGAGTGACTCAGACTAAATGTGCGTGTTTGTCATACAAAACCCTGAAAGTATGCAGTGATGCCTATAAAAGTGCCCAGCTCCTATGCCTTTCAGGCACCCAGCAGTCAGGCGGTCCATCAGGATTTTGAGTATTTCTCTCTGATCAAGCACCAAGGGAATCGGGCCTTTTCTTAAACCGGATCTGCATTCGCACTGACTGTGCGCTTCTCCACAAACTCGGCTAATTTCTAGACAATCGACATGATGATTGTGTCTGGGCGCTGGAGCAGCCCCGCAGCTGCTCAGTAATTGCCCTTTAAAAACAAATGCTTTTTCGCTGTGGGTCCCCCCCCCATAGTCTCAGAACTAAAGTAATTTAAAAAAAAACCCAAAAGCATGGGGTTGTGATTCCACTAGAGTTCAAGAGACAATTTTACCCTGGAGCAGAGTCAGTACTTGGGGAAACTAATATGCATCCAAATGATTATTACACTTTCCTGCTTAGGAGCAGAGGCTTTGCCAAAAAGCAGTGGCTCTTAATGCCGAGGGGCGAGGCCGGCTGGGTTTCAGCAGGAGTCCTTCCTGCCCGCACTGTCTCCATCTCTGTTGGCTCAAAAACCTGACCTTTCCCAACTCTTGGCTCAGCTGAGAGCTTTTATGTGATCATTGGGGCAGAGGGAAAAGGCAGGGATGGTAATGAAAATCGGGGAGGGGGTCCTGTAGCTCTTTGCTGTTAGATTCTTTCACGAGCCACCAGGCCAGCCTTCCTTTCATTTTTAACCCCCTGGACGAGCCTTTGGGGTTTAGTGCCACCAAAAAAAAAAAAAAGAAAAAAGAAAAAAATCCCAGCTGTTTGTGTGTTAGGCCAGCACATGTACTGGATTTTCTGAAACCATTCACCTTAAAAAGTGAATTTCTTCATTTTTACACTGCCCTGGGTTCTTTTTATGCTGCCACAGCTCACACGAGAATTTAAAAACTCCACCGTCAGACCTAGAGTTTTGCACTTGGGTTTTACAAAGCGTGGCCCCTCCATAAATAGAAGCTTGTAGCCTTTGGCCTCAGCGGCACTGGCCACACCCCACAAGGGCCTCTCGGTGAAGGCAGTTTCCCAGGGGGCCTGCACTGTGGCCTGGTAACAACGGGAAAATCTTCAGCAGGGCCTCAGCTCGTCTCTTGCCTTCAGTCGAGGCAGCCGGGGACTCAGGGCGAAGTTCAGGCAGGGCTGAATCTGGGCTGAGGTTTGTGAGCCTCAGTGAACTTGAATTGCCCAGCAGTCGTAAGCCCGAGCGAGTCACAGATCGGGGTCAAAACTGCTTACCCTACCCCCCTCACTGCACCCTGGTTGTTTTTGGGTCTTTAACCTCTGCTCCTCCCTCTGGGGTGGCCATGTGTCATCTGCAAGGACGCTGGCTCTCAGGAGCCCTCCGTTGCCTGGGTTCTGCTCTGTCCTCAGGCTCAGCCTCTTCTGTCAGGAAGAAGTGCCCATTCTGGTCCGAGGCATTGACTAGAAATAGTGCTCAGGGAACCTCCACGGACACGTAACTGACCCTGGATGCCCTGGGGGCTGTGCCCTGGGGGCTGTCTGTACTGCCTAAAGAAGAACTTGTTACAGCAGACCCACTCCTCAAGGGCAAAATGTGTGTTTGAGAGTGTTCTTTTTTTGGGGGTGGGGTGTTCTTTTGGGGCATGGTATGTGTTGGGATTTGGTTCCCTTGACTCTTCTCTTGGTCAGCAGGACGGTTTGTTAATCCTCCCCAGATCGTTCACAAGTTTGTGGAATGTGCCAGGTCACCGGCCCCTGTTGCCAGCTCCGAGCTCTAGAATCCACGAGAAAAGGCAGTAGGAGCTATAACCCAGCATGCCAAGTGGATTTCAGGGGGGCAGCCCTGGGTTTGTAAGCGCAGAGAACACCCCAGTGTGGGTTTGCCTCTTGCACTCATCATACTTAAAACAAACAAACAAAAAACCCAAAAAAACAAAACGTTTGAAATAATTCTCGGAAACTCTCCGAATGTAATTTTGCTAACCTCACAGAGATGATAAGGGAGATCAGTGAAGCACTCTGTAGGTGTCATTTTAGATTCACTGACAAAAGATGCCCCAGAATTACAAGGAGTTCTTCTGCTTTTGATTTCAACTTGATTATATTAGTCAGAAATATTTTTAAAAGATCCTTAGAAGGCATATTAAATGAAACCCCCAGGAAACTGGGATATTTAGATGCCTTAAGGCATTCTGTTACAGTGCTGATAATTCCCGTCCCCTGCACTTTCTGAGTACTCTCTCCCTCCCCTTCTCCCTTTCCCTTTCATTCATTCATTCATTCATTCATTCACACAAAGAACCCTGGATACTGTGCCTGTGTCGGGAATTGTGACGGGGGCCAGGTGAGACCCAGCAATCGCCAAGAATATTCCTTGCCTTTGAGGAGCATTCAATCTAGAATGCACTTCTTTTGAAAAACTGTTTTGAAACAAACACTGTAGACAGCGCTGCTCATGAATTAATGACAATCATGTCTGTATTAGAATAGATGTGGGATAGGTATTTTTCTTGCTTCCTGGAAGAAAAGTCTATTCATCAAGCAGTTGAATAAATTGTGGGAGCACCTCAGCTCAGTAGGATTTAGCGCCTCTTGTGGTTGTAGCCTGAGGGGTGTTTCCTCCGGCAGCATTTGTGTGTGGGAGTGGCGGTACCTGGTCTGGGCTCAGGTCCAGCCCCACCGCTTCTCTCACTGTGTGACCTTGGCCGCGCCTTGGTCTCCTCAGCTGTAGAATGGGTGGCGGTGTTCCTGGTCATTGGAGTTACTACTCTTACCGCCGGAGGCTGTAGGCGACCAGGGCCTGGCCCATCCGGGTGTTTGCTGTTCTTAGAATTCTTTACCAACATTAGTTTTCTTGTTACTTAGAGCCGTATGGCCCAGTGTGGAAGCCGCTAGCCACGTGTGACTCCTGAGCCTTTGAAACGGCCGATGTGACAAGTGTGAATGCACATGGGCTCTAAGTGCAAGGCACACTCGCTTAAGTTTCAAAACCAAATGTAGAAACAAGATTCTACAATACCTCGTTAACTAATTTTATACGAATTACGTGCTGAAGTTACAATGTTTTTGCCCTATTGGGGTTAAAGAAAGTGACAACACTCAGTTTAAACCAGCAACGTGGCTCACATTAGGGCTTCTCTTGTCGGTGGTGATTCAGATAAAGACGCAGTAATCCCAGTTTAAGGGAAACGCGCCATCTTCCCCTGAATTCTAAAACAAGGCCATGCATCTGGGGGCCGCTTTGTGAAAAGGTGTTGCAGAAAACGTGCCCCCGGTCGAGAAGCCCCACGGGTGTCCCCGTCCTGGCTGGTCTATTATCACTGCTCTATGCGCCCGACTCTGGCGACTTGTGACTGTGCACTAACCAAGACCATATTCTTTCTCAGCGACAAGTTCACCCGATTTTGCCAGTGGAAAAACGTAGAGTTAAACATCCATGTGAGTATCCTCTTAATTCTTTCCCTTTTTTTTTTTCTTTTTTTTTTTTTTAAATAAAAACTTCCTCTGGCTTCACTTCGTGAGAAAATACTTTATCCCGGAGCACACTCCCACGGGTAAAGCGCCGCTAAACAGATGTCGCCCTTACAGCTCTAACGTATGAAGAACTCATCCCCCCCATACCCGGTTTTGTAAACAGCTCGAGGTTTCATTCTCTTTTTTCTGATTCATATAAGAATGTGTTTATTTACTTAATAAAGGGTATTTTAAGCTGTGATTGACCCACAGAAATTGTAGTAAAAAAATACAAGTCCCCTACATAACGGACTTCCCATATGCCCTTGTCTTTCACCACCCTGGTTAAGGACTCTTTTCTCTTTCTTATTATTAGGTCTCATCTTGGAATAAAAATGATGGCGTCTTTTATTAGGCCAAGGTTTCATCTCCTTTTTTTTTTTTTTTTTTTTAAATTATATTTGAGAGTGAGAAGAGCAGCCCTCACTTCTAACACACATTTCCTGCAAGGCTCTTCTGCTTCCAGTGTTCAACCTCGGGTTCTGAGGGGTGTCCCCTTGCTTCACTTATAGAACCCATGTTTCTTTCTTTCTTTCTTTTTTTTCTTTTAAATTTTTTAATGTTTATTTATTATTTTTGAGAAAGAGACAGAGCATGAACAGGGGAGGGGCAGACAGAGAGGGAGACACAGAATCCGAAGCAGGTCCAGGCTCTGAGCTGTCAGCACAGAGCCCGACGTGGGGCTCGAACTCACAAACCACAGGATCATGACCTGAGCTGAAGTCGGCCGCTTGACCAGCCGAGCCACCCAGGCACCCCGTGCCCTTGTTTCTTGATACAGCCTCTTTTACCTTCCCCTTCGTGTCAGTTTGTGAGTAAGAAAAAGAAATAATCAACTGTATTGTATTTTTTTTTGAAACTTGAGGGTACCGTTGGTTTTTTTTTTTTTTAATTCTTTTTTTTTTTTTTTTAACTTCCCCTTTCTTTCACGTTTCCTGGCAGGATTGTAGAAACAAGAGGGAAATAACACATTTTTCAAAATATCCACTATATTTGCCATAGATCTTTCTCTCGCTTCTTCAGCAGACCCCATGTGCTCAGGTCCTGCTGTCCCCGAGCATCAGATGTGAAGCCTGTGGGCCCAGTTAGCTGCGGCTGCAAACATGGTGTTTCCAGGGCTGTCTGGGGGAACCTTCAGACCTGGCCCTTAACTTGCCAGGATGCATAAGCTAGTAGGCCATTTGCTCTTATCCGACTGCCCCTTCAGAACGTCTGGCTCACTATCTGCCTTTGTACCGTCTAAGAGTATTTTTTTTTTTAATTTTTAATGTTTATTTTTGAGAGAGAGAGACAGACCACGAGTGTTGGAGGGGGCAGAGAGGGAGGGAGATAAAGGATCCGAACCAGCCTCCAGGCTCCGAACTGTCAGCACAGAGCCCGACACGGGGCTCGAACCCATGATCCATGAGATCAGGACCTGAGCCGAAGTCGGACGCTTACCTGACAGAGCCCCCCAGGCTCCCTGGTACCATCTAAGAGTATTAAAGCTACTTAGGAAGCGGGGCAGTGCTGAGATACTGACACGAGGAAAGGGCTTATGAATGAAGCCTCTTTATACACTTTCCTCCTACGTCGCGTCTTGTTTCATGCTCACATGCCCAGCGCGAGTCCTAGCGATTCCCTGATGTTATCGATAAAAAATTCACATGGCCAGGCATCCGCCGAGTTTTCTCATCATATGGCCCGTGGATGCCCTCGATGTAGACTTATTTTTTTTTGCCATGACAGTTCCTGGAATTGCTGAGCTGTTCCCACACTTCCGGCTTCAGAGTAGCTGAGATTGCTTTTCATTGGGACTAGAAATTTCACGCTCCCTGGTCCTCAGGGCATACATCTTATGACCTAAAAGGCAGGAGATCGGAAAAACAGTCTGACTGGGCTCCCACTCTCTCCTCTTCCCGTTTGCCTCCCTTTTGTGCATTTTGGGGCTGGAGCAGATGGCGGGTCTAGAAAGTCTTGCAACCTTGCACATCTGGTCTTACAGTCTGAGGAATCAGTCACAGAAAGGGCAGGTCCCTCTATCAGAATTACTGTTTTAGTCACTGACCGTGGTATGCGTGAAAACAACAGCATAATTTCAGTGCAGTTCTCTGTTTTCATACCGTGTTTTGAATTCACAGTTGACCATGAATGATTTCAGCGTGCATAGGATCATCGGACGAGGGGGATTCGGCGAAGTGTACGGTTGCAGGAAAGCAGACACTGGGAAAATGTAAGCTCTCTGTGGGCTTTATGCTTTGCATCAGAAGAAAACACCTACCTCGATTTGTGAAAGCCCCTGACTTCACTCCTTAAGTGACTTAACCTCTGAAAGAAATGGGCTGTTTGTTGTGTAACATCGTAAATGAGAATAGTTGGCTGGAACTTCCATCTCTTAGGGCTAAATGGGAAGTTAACGGGTAACTATGTGTCATGAGCCCCCATGGCTCGGGCCGTGGGCGAAGGAGTCTGGGATCTAGAAGTGACCAAGAAGGGCCATTCCATACAGCCTGCCGCGCCAGTCCTGTTGCAAAGAATGCTCTGCTCTGCAGGGGAGAGATCTTCTCTTCTAGATGGTGACCCACCCATGATTTAGCATATGCACTTTTTGGTGCCCTTACATTCCGGGAGATGTCAGTTCCCCAGATGGGTAGCTCAAGCACTGGTGAGGAGGGTACCCTGCTAGGTCACAATCGTGGGGCTCCGTCACTGTCTCTGTCACTGAGCTTACAGGTGCTTGATGTGAGGCCAGTTACATGCATGTGAGCCAGGTGTGAAGCTTTTCCAGAAAGTGAATGGTAGAGTCCTTAAGTGGTGCAGGTGTGGGGCGGGGTTTTTAGAAGCAGTTTGCTTATGTGAGCGTATATCTAAAAGCAAAAGAGAACGGGAAATACGGTTTGATAGACCCAGAGCTACACGTTGGATCAAGTGACAGGCCTTTTTAGAATAGCAGCAAAGTGGAATAGTGTGTGTGGCTTGGTTTGTCACCTTACTGAGTCGGTGTAAGAGGAGCGAGTGGGGTGCGAGAATTCAGGGTCCACCTCCCCCACCACCAGGTCATCACTCAGCCTCTGCTCGGGTCCTCCCCGTGACTGGGCTCGGACAGCTTTGCCAGGCTGCCCTCGTAGGTTTTAGACATGTCCAGTGATGGCCATGATCTTCATCATTTAGGGGCTGAAGTTTACCTTCAGTAACTATGCCCACTGATCTTCCTGTTTTGGGGCCCATGTGGGGTGGACCCAGTGGCTGGAGTGAGACAGCGGCGGGTCCTGCTGAGACAGGATACCTGGTGACCCAAGGTGCGGGTCCTGGTGTCCCACGACCGGGTCAGACCCGGCTCCCGTTCCCAGGCTGGCACAAACGAGGTCTGTGCCTTCTCTCAGCCTCTGCAGCTGAGTCTGTAGGGGAGGGAGGCTCCTTCCCAGTTGTGAGAATTGAACAGAGAAATACATTGCAAAGCGTGCAGATCGCTGCCTATCCCATAGTCCAGGTTATCGAGCGGTCCTCGGCAGCCCTGTCTTCCGTCCCCACCCTGTACCCCCGCGGTGGACTTTGCTGCTAAATGACGCTCTTGCTTTGGCGCTCAGTCCATTTTGCCAAATGTGTTCCCTGGCCTCCCTCACTGCTGCGCACCCAGGAAGTCAGGAGGTCATCTGCCGCATGATGTGCAAGTCAGTAATATCAGCGTGGGTCTCTGTGTTATGTTGGTTGTTTTATGTGAGTCTCTGTGTGTGGAAAAGTGCCTTCCGCTTTCTAGAGCAGGGTTACACACTTACCGGGAGTCCCACAGCTAGGAAGTGGCTGGGCTCAGTCCCTGTGGATCCTAGCCCACCCGGGGACTGCCTCCTCCCGCACTGAGAAGCCAGTGGCAGCCCACTTGCTCAATCCAGGGGTTCAGGGCTTCTTGGGTCTGCAATTTAAACATTGTACCAAATGGCAGCCTGGTAGGGGCTGGTGATAGAAGTGGTATGACACCGTCTGAAAATTCATCATAGGACTTAAATAAAGAACACGACACTTCCTGCATTCTCCTGTTCGATCCCTTAGTTAAGCAGATTCACGTCCGTCAGTGGATTTGTTATGAAGAACCCCTGGGAGAGTGGATAAAAGGACCAAATTTGGGGGCGGCTGGGGAGCTCCGCCGGTGGAGCACTGTGTATTGATTGCAGCTCAGGTCATGATCCCAGAGTTGTGGGATCGAGCTCCGCATTGGGCTCCATGCTGGGCGTGGAGGCTTTTTGAGATTTTCTCCACCTCTCTCTCCCTACCACCTGCTCTACGCTGCTCCTGCGCACGCTCTTGCTCCCTCTAAAAAGAAAAAAAAATAGCAAAGTTGAACATCTCTCTCTTTTGCTGAGTCATAATGCTGTAAGTTATGATTGGTTAGAAACCAGTGGATTTTCTGTGTCCTGTCACAGCCAGACAAACGTCCGTATTATGTGCGGGGACCTCCTAAAGTGGTCCCTCAGTGGGGACTCACAGTCCCACACAGAGTTCTGAAGCCCCTGTACAAATGTCCTTTCAGCTTTCTGCCACGCTGCTGACAAATTGTCCTTCCTTCTTTAACCTGTGATTAGAGAGAATGCCAAATAACATGTCTGCGGTAACTTCAAAAACCTTGTCAGCTGTTTCTTCTCCACTAACTTTACTATGGACATCTACGGATGCTTTTTATTATTTGGAAGATGATAAATATCAAGATTAAAAACAAATCAGGGGCGCCCGGCTGGCTGAGTCATTGGGACATGTGACTCTTGATCTCAGGGTGGTGAGTTTGAGCCCCATGCTGGGTGCAAAGATTACTTTAAACGAACAAAAAACAACCAATCAAATAACATTTTAGAATGTGCCTTTTTGAGTATGTGCCTGCCTTTTTCATTTTGCTGGTTGCCAGTGTTTGAGCCTTTCACTCTGCCCTCTTGCAAAATCTTAACCACTGCTGAAATCACAGTTCCTAAAATTACACACACCACCGCAAGACATACATAGTAGTAACTAAACAGCAACAAAATGTACAACATTTTATTTTCACCCAATTTATTAATATCCCTCTACTATATGTTCTCATTTAACTGGAACTTCTATTCGTGTAATGGCTGAAATATCTTAATTATTGCTTGATTTTAAAAAAAATATTATTTTGATTAAAGAAATTTTTTTAAAGAAACAATATTTTATTTTATTTATTTTTGAGAGAGAGAGAGAGAGAGCGAGCATGAGGGAGAAGCAGAGAGAGAGGGAGACTGAGAATCCCAAGCATGGAGCCCAGTGTGGGGCTCGATCTCACAGACCATATGATCCATGACCTGGGCCGAAACCAAGAGGCCTATGGATGCTCAGCCGACTGAGCCACCCGGGTGCCCCTGAAACCTTTTCATTTTCGAATAGTTTTAGGTTTACAGAAAAGGTTCAAAAACAGCACAGGGAGTTCCCGTGATCCCCACCCAGTAGCTCTGTCTTATGTTACTGCGAACATTTGTCACAACAAATGAACTAATATCGATACATTATTATTAACTTGAGTCTCCTTTTTTTTTTTTTTTAATTTTTTTTACTTTTTACCCAATGGCTTTTTCTGTTAGCCAGATCCCGTGTTATGTTCAAGTCATCCTGTCCCCTTAGGCTCTTTAGACTATGTAGTTTCTCGGACCTTCCCTGTTTTGAGGGGTGGACCGCCTTGCGGAGGGCTGGCCCCGTGTACTGTAGAATGTCTTCCAGTTGGGGCCTGCTCTGCTCGTGGTTATCTGGGGCTGTGGGCTTTTGGAAACAAGATGCCAGTGGCAGCACGCCATTCACATTGAGTCGTATCACGGGTGCCCGTCATTAACATGACTCCTCACGGTCGATGCCGACCTTGACTGCCTGCTTGAGGTCGCATTTGTCAGGCTTCTCCACCCATAACAGCCCTGTCCTCTCTCCTTCACACTGTTCTCTTGGAAAGGAGCTCACCGCGTGCAGCCCCCACCCAAGGAGTGAGGAGTGATGCTCTGTGTTGAAATTTTCTCTTAATACGTGCAGAATTTAAAAATATACATATACATATATATTTTGTGTGATACTCGGCACATGCCATTTTGCCTCTTTAAAACACTTCCTAAATCTTTAGAATCTTTCTCAAGTACGACATGGATCGTTTAAAGCAGCCTGGATTATTTCCAGTGTAGCTTTTTTAACAATATTTCTGTTTCCAGGTATGCAATGAAATGCCTGGATAAGAAGAGAATCAAGATGAAGCAAGGAGAAACGTTAGCCTTAAATGAGAGGATTATGTTGTCTCTTGTGAGTACAGGGGTGAGTATTCTGTTTGGAGCGCTGCTTGCTCTCCAGTCTTCGCTGGTTGGTCGGTTTTCTGGATTGAGCCAATTTATTTAAAATACGGGCATTCTTTTCCAGCAAATGATGCAGCCAGCCAGTTCTTGGGTGGGTGAGCGTTTATAGCAGGGAAGAGCGGCACTAAGTTAATATAAATAGTGTAGAATCCGCATATTATCTCTGTTTAACTTGGGAGTTAGGGAAGTGCTAGTGGCCATCATTACGCACACCCACCACTTCTCCCTTCAGTGGCTGTTTATGACTTTCTTCTCTGTGGCATGTGGTTGCTGAGATGGCAGGAATATGCGTGGCAACGACAGCTAAGTCACTGGCGTCGAGTTAAGCACTGACTGCATGGCATAGGACTGACCCAGAGGAGAAGTGCAGAGAATGTAGCTCTGGGCCTTTGTGAACAAACAGAGAGGAGGCACCTAGGGTTAGGGTCTGAATTGCACTTGGGTCCTCACGCCGTCACGAGAAGCCTTCGCGATCCTCGCTGCTTTTCCCCTGCCATCGTGAACTTCGGTCATTTCCTTTTCCAAGACGATGTTTCCGCCTTTTGGACATTTCATTTGTCTGTTAGCCTAGCATTTTTAGCTCAGCCTTGTGTCAGAACCTTCTATCCCGTGTCTTCTTGCAAAACAGCACCGCATTCTGGCTGCTTTGCAGTGCATGGTGTGACCCTCGAGCAAAACCTTAGCTTTTATGTATTTGAAACAGATCTATGTAAAGATATCCAGAAAAACTCTGTGTCCCAGAACCCGGGGCAGGTCTGCGTGCACTAGCGGGCCTGCCACTCAACGTGCAGAGGAGGTCAGGGGCGCAGGGTCTCCAGGGGAAGGCAGGAGATGAGAGTGGAGTGGCCAGACCCATGCCGAGTACCTCCCTCATGAATTTGAGGCTGAACGCCAAGCCAAGATGGTTTATATGCAATGAGATATATTGGGGATGGCGTCGCCTCCAGATACCCTGAGCTGGTTTCTAAACGGGGTCATTCTCTCCCACACGGCGAAGGAATCAGACTTTGGTGGTGAGTCAAAGAATCCTTTCCAACCAGTAAGCAAGGAACCGGAGGCCCAGAGAATAAATATCCAAGGTGTGGAGACAGCTCATTAAAAATTAATATTTTAATTACCACTTAAAATCTGCAGTAACTCATGTTTGCAATTTAAGGCAATGACATTTCCAATAGAAACTAGAAATGAATGCCACTCATACTGATTCCAACAGCGTGTGAGCTGCTCAGCTTCCATTCCAACTAGTTGCGACCGCAGTCGCGCACCCAGGGAAACTCTTACTTGAGATGCCCCATGTCCAGATATTTGGAGGTAGAGGCACATAGAAATTATTTATAGCTACAGTGCTCTTATTTATTATAGTTGAGCTCAATTACGATAACCTTTTACTTCAGTAAAATAATAAATAAAACAAGCTGGACCAGGTGATTTTTTTTTTTTTTTAAGAGTCTTGCCTATCCAGAAAGCCTGTGATTCTAAATCCACAATTCACGTCCCATCTTAATAACATATGCTCTTAAGTGAACCTTTTTTTGCCTTGTGCCATTTCCTTGGAGCTACCATTAGAAGGCTCATGATCCCATTGTGTTCAGAAATACCCCTTTGGCAGGGTCTGCTGTCTCCTTGGTGGAGGGAGTGCAGATGCCCTCTGTAGCTGGGCAGGACTCTGGCCTCACTGAGTTCTGGCTCCACCTGCCTCTCTGCTCTGCAGATCAGTGGCCCATCAGATCAGGAATCAGAGTGTGTGGGGACCCCATTCAGGAAGGGGCAGAATGAACCATTTTCAGCAGGCTCTTAGAAAGGTACTTCCCTAAGTGCAAGGGGGACAGTGCCTCCACCTCCAGGAAGGCCATGTGGCTTTTAACGGAAAAAGGAAATCACTTTTATTTTGCAAAATCAGCTGTGAAATCAGTAATCACTAAAACCATCTCAATAGTATTTTAAGGCAAACTAGGTAATCACAGAATGAAATTTGTAATCCATTCTGGAAGATACGTGGAAATTATATTCAAGTTCACGAATCTCTGGTATAGAAAGGAGTCAGATTTATTAGTATGCCCTTAATACAAAGGTTTGGACAGGGGCGCCTGGGTGGCTTAGTCGGTTGAGCGTCCGACTTTCGCTTAGGTCATGATCTCGCGGTTTGTGGGTTCGAGCCCCGCGTCGGGCTCTGTGCTGACTGCCAGCTCAGAGCCTGGAGCCTGTTTCAGAGTCTGTGTCTCCCTCTCTCTCTGACCCTCCCCTGCTCACGCTGTCTCTCTCTCTCTCTCCTGGAAATAAGTAAAAATTAAAAAAAAATATACAAAGGTTTGGACAATGCAGATTCAGTGTAGCAATTATTCTGTTGAAACCTGGCTATTTTCTGTGGAATTTAATAATTTTTTTGTTTCTGTTAAGAAAGTAGATATAGATGTGTGGTGTTTTTTTTTGGTGCTTTGCCCGTGTTTGGACTTGGCATTTTAAGTGTACTGTCTTGGATCTGTACTTCTCTCGCTCAGCACTGCTTGTGAGATTTACCGGTGTCATGGCACGTGGCCGCAGTGCGTTCTGCAGTTAAACGGCAGAGGTCTGCGTGCTGCGCATGGCCCGTGGACCAGACGTGGCTTGTGGCCTTTGTTCCATATACCTGAACTAGCCATGGGTTTACACTCCTAAGGGATCGTATAGAAATTAAACAAACATGTGGCAGAGATCGCACGTATAGAAATTAAACAAAGATGTGACAGAGATCGCATGGAGCCCGCAAAACCGAAAATAATTCGTGTCTAGCCCCTTGTAGAAGAAACTTGCTGACCCTAGCCATATAGCGTCCCCTGCATGAACGTGCCACAGTTCACGTATCCGTTCTAACATGGATAGACATTCGGGTCATTTTCTGGCTTTTTTGAACAGTGCTGTGAGGAATGTTCTCTTGCAGTTCTCTTGGCTCACATAGTTGCGGGGTGCTGTGAGGGGCTTGCCCTGCGGTGGAAATGCTGGGTCATGGGGCGTGCAGACGGCACCCAGCTTCGGCAGACAGCACCAGCCAGTTTGCGAAAGCGGTTGTTAGCGCCGTGAGCTCCTAGAAGCCGTAGCTGGGGTCCCATGTACACCATATCTTTCCAGCCACTTGGTATTGTCAGTCTTTTTAACTTTACCCATTCTTGTGGGTTTCAGCGATGACATATGGCAATGACTCGTTTCCTTGGTGACCATTGATGTCCAGCATCTGTTCATAGGCTTCTGAGCCATTGGATACCCTCTTATGTGAAGTGCCTGCCTTCTTTGTTTGCTTGCTTGTCTTTTCTTTCTTTCTTTCTTTCTTTCTTTCTTTCTTTCTTTCTTTCTTTCTTTCTATTGTTACTATTACTACTACTACTGTTTTTTTGCCATTGTTCTGTTGGGTCGTTTGCCTTTTTCTTTATTGATTTCTGAGAGTTCTTTATATATTCTAAATGTGAGTCCTGTATGCGTTTATGGATCTAAGATACCTTCTCCTATTTTGTGACTTGCCTTTTTAGTCTCTTACCAGTGTCTTCTGAAGGACAGAAGTTCGTAATTTTGTTTTTGTCCAGTTTTGCAGTATTTTCACTGGTAGTGCTTTTTGGTGGCCTAAGAAACCTTTACTTACCCTAGGGTCACAAAGATAGTCTCTTCCGTGTTCCTCTAGAAGCTTTATTGTTTCCCTTCAGATCTCTGTCTTCCTGGAGTTGACTTTAGTGTGTGGTGTGCGGTAGGGGTGGGCGTCCACATTCCTTTGTACAGAAACCCGTCTGCTCCAGCATCAGTGATCAGAAAGGCCATCCTTTCCCCTACCCTGTTGTGTCACTTCATCACAGAGCAGTTGACCATGTATGTGTGAGTCTGCTTCAGGATCCTCAGTTCTGTTCTCTGGGTCTGTTTGTCTCTCCTTGGGCTACTACCACACCGTCTGATTTATTGCTGCTCTGTGACAAGTTTTGGGGCGCCTGGGAGGCTCAATCAGTTAAGTGTTAGACTTTGGCTCAGGTCACAATCTCATAGTTTGTGGGTTTGAGCTCCATGTCGGGCTCGGTGCTGACAGCTCAGAGCCTGGAGCCTGCTCCAGATTCTTTGTCTCCCCCCCACCCCTTGCTCATGCTCTGTCTCTCTTTCTCTCAAAAAAAACCCCACAAATATTTAAAAACATATATATTTTTTAATATGCATATAACATAAAAATAGTACTATATATGTGTGTATGTATTTGGCATATATATTTCTGTATATTGTATATATTTATATATGTAATACATATATTTATATATATAACATATATGCTTATATATATATAATATATATAGTAAGTTTTAATATCTGGTACTGTGACTTTTCTGGCTTTTTCTTCTAGAGTAGATTTTTCTCAGCTGTGTACATCTCCATATAAATTTTGGAAACAGCGCATTGATTTTCACTTTAATTAAAATTGTATTGGGGTGACCAGGTGGCTCAATTGGTTGAGCGTATGACCATGTCATGATGTCACACTTTGTGAGTTTGAGCCCTGCATCGGGCTTGCTGCTGTGCCCACTTCAGGTCTCCTGTTCCCTGCCCCCTGCTCTCTGTCTCTCCCCGACTCCCTCTTGCCCTCTCTCTCTCAAAAATAAATAAGACATTAAAATAATTTTTTAAAAATTGCATGGAATCTCTCAATCACTTTGGGGGAAAACTGACATCTTTACAACTGAATTATTCAGTCCCTGACTCTGGGATATTTTTCTGCTTTGCAAGCTAGTCGCATTCCCTTTTTATGCTCAGTGTTTCAAGACCGTAGTATATAGATACTTCCTCCCACTGTGTATGGTTCTTCCAACTTCAGAATCAGTTTGAAGTGGGTATTTGACTAGCCAGAGCCAAAGTGTAGACCAACATCTAGTTGGTCTGGTAGAACTGCAATCTCTTTCTGTAGAGCCTGGGTCCTTTGAAGAAACTGCAGATAAAAGGGTCACGATTGAATCTGGGAGAGACGAGACCTTTGAATCCATCTGCTCCACTCTGTGTGCGTTTTGTCACGTAACCAGATCCGTTTCACTGGGATGGTCAAGGTTACCATGGAGGGATCTGCTTAACGCACAGGGTAGTGGCGTGGATGAGAAAATCTGCAGACGCTGTTTGGTAGCAGATGTGCTTCCGGGGACAGCTTTTGTTTTTCTGATCAACTTTGGCTTTTTTTTTTTCTCCCTAGGACTGTCCTTTCATTGTCTGTATGACCTATGCCTTCCATACTCCAGATAAACTGTGCTTCATCTTGGATCTGATGAACGGTGAGCGCCACGCAGGAAGTCTGAACGCAGGGAGAGCGTTGGCCGTGATGTGAGGCCTTAGCACGCGCTGATCTGTGCCCGCCGGCAGTTTGGGTCTTTGGGATAATTGGGTTTTCCCTCTGAAGTTTGAGGAAGCCTTCTGCTCTTCAAGTGTCCATTAAAATTACTTTAAATTCCCCTCTGTGCCCTCCCAGTTTCTCACCAGGAAGTTTGCGTTTTCCGGAAGAGATTTTCATAAAATACGTAAACTTCATTTTCTGGAACGCAGCTGGCCTAGATCTTTAATTAGCTTGTTTCCTAACCCTCAACTTTTAGGAATGAAATGCCTCACAAGAACGTAGGCCAAAGATAGAAGTATATTCAGAAGCCGACTTTGAAGCTGGGCTCCTGGCCCAGTATACTTAGCCCAGACCAGCCATCCATTGATCTTGTAAGCCATGAATGCCAACAAAGTTCTAGCTAAAAAAGTAGCTTTCTAATGCTAGAGAGTGACACAGGACGTACTCAAAGTGTTTTCAGTCACAAGAGCTGATGTAGAAGGCCTATAGGACAACAAATGGAATGCCCTTTTTTGGAAGTTCATTTGAAGTTGTTACATTTTGAGGGTTTAACTTAAAGCTAGACCACTTCGACAGCTTGGAGGAGTCAGACATAATAGTGGGCAAAGAAACCAGACACTGTAATGTGTCTCCTATGCGATTCCATGTTTATGACTCTCAGAACAGTTAAAATGAATGAACGGTGAGAGGTCAGGTTGGAGCCCCCTTGGGCCTAACCACGGGCCGGGGGCTGAGGCATGGACAGGTGAGGGCACTGGGCCCCTGGGATCATGCAAATCTTACATTTCGATCCACCAGCGGGTCTGCAGGGAAGAGAAGGTACTTACGAAAGTGGACACACGTTAACTTCTATGGATCAGTGGAAGCTATTCCTTTATAGCTCCTAAAGACGTCCCTTACCCTGTTGGTGGCATCCTCTGTCTCTGTAACTTGAGCCCATATAATGATGGATTTTTTCCAAATGTTTTATTATGAAAACTTGCAAACACAGGGCAAAACTGAAAAACACTGTACCGTGGACACCTAAATGCCCGCCTAGCTGGATTACAGCAGTTACAGTTTTGCTCTTGCATCCGCTCTCATATCTCTCAGTATGATCGTTTTGTTTGTTTGCTTGTTCTTTTATCGTCCACGGAGCCAGTTGCCAAGCCAGCTACTGGGTCAACCGTGTCACAACCCAGTCACTAGACAGGAAGTGAGTGATCCAGGCAGATTAGCGAGTCCCAGACTGCGAAGGTACGTGTGGGTGCTAGATTCCCCGTCTGCGAATGATGCCTTCGTTGTCTGCTGCCCCAGCCACCCACCCACATTTAGGCATTAGCAATGTGTCAGCTTCCTCTGTACCCTTTAGAGTGTTTTCTCAGACTACACAAGTCAAAGATAGATATAGACAAAGCAGCAGCCTTTTTGTGCCGTGTCCTAAGTATTTAGGACAGCAACAGGTTTTGCTTCTTGCAGATGAACACGCTTTGCCTTGACCTCCGCATCTGTCTGTGATTTCAGGGGGCGATTTGCACTACCACCTTTCCCAGCACGGGGTGTTTTCTGAGAAGGAGATGCGGTTTTATGCCACTGAAATCATCCTAGGGCTGGAGCACATGCACAATCGGTTTGTTGTGTACAGAGACTTGAAGGTAAGGCAGTCTGGTTCCGGCACCTGCGCGGTAGGTCATTGCGGTCGTGGGTGCCCAGACTGTCCCTTCTCTTTCGTAGGACCTGCCGTGTCCCTCATCTCAGCCCCCGGGGAAGTCACATCTGTGTGGTGTCGTCTGTCCAGACCCTAAACCCTGTTCCAGGAGCTCCTTCCCTTCCCGGTTGTCACTGTCCGCCCTGTGTGCCCTGCCCTGCCTGGTGCAGCACACATACTAAAAAGTTTTCATTGGTGACTGGACGAAAAGCAAGGCAGGAGTTACTTGGTGTTGCTGATCAATTACAATTATAATTAATTGTAATGCACATAATGTTCACTAAGCAACTGATTTGGCCACGGCTCTGGGTTAGAACTGGTGATGTACAAAACTGGACAAGCATAGAGATGTGTCTTCTGGGATTCATACCCTGGCGAACCAAGCCATAGAATAGCCGAGCCACAGTTCATCCGAGGCGGGGCCTGTCCGGTCCCAGGTGAGGCCGGTCTGGTGGGGAGGTGGGAGGTGGGGAGGCCAGTCCGAGGCGGGGCTGGTAGGGGTGGGGGGGTGCGGTCTGAGGCTGGGCCGGTCCAAGGGCGGGGGCAGTCTGAGGTGGGCTGGTCCGAGGTGAGGCCAGTCTGGTCTGAGGCGGGTGGATCTGAGGCAGGGTTGGTCCAAGGGGGGGCCGGTCCGAGGCCAGGCCCATCAGTCTGCAGCTTACCCCCATGGGCTACTCTGAGAGTTCACGTTGTTTTAAGACTGTCTTCAGAATCACCAACAGATTTGTAGAGGAGGTACTTGGTGCATTACAGTGGCGCCTCGTGGACCTCTCTGGACTTGACAAACTGGAGTGAGTCTCTTTGGAGTCTCCCCTTTCCGCACCATCTGTGATGCTCCGTCCTGGGTTCTGCATTTCTGAGGGAGCTGAGGTTTTGCTCAGTACGTCCGTGGGGACACTTGTGGTGAGAAGCCCAGGTAGAGACAAAAGAGACCCTGACGAAGATAGGAATGATCACGCAGATACGTAATGGTGCACATCATGATGGGAAGGAAAATGATAGGAGAGACAGTTTCCCCACAGGGCGAAAGCAGCCCGTGAAGACGTGTTTGTCTCCTCTTTCGGATTCCTTCTTGAACGGACCCAGGTCACCGACTGGAGTGTACAGCTTACACTCCTTTCCTCCAAGGAGCTGTGTTTTGATCAGCCGCCTTAACTTTTTAAGGTTGCCTTGCAAGAATCTAAAAGATTTTATCTTATTTTCAAGCCTCTTGGTGTTTTTCACAAAACACTTTGTAAAAGTTAAGGCTTTCTGCAAGGTTACAGAATTAGTCCCTTCGTTTTCATCTGAGCATGAAGGAGAAAAAAATATGTTTTCATTGCATTAGAAATAATTAGACACTGGTCGGCACATGACATTTTGTTTCCCCCTGTGAGTTTTGCAGGAGGATAAAATACATGCTGAGGGCCCACGAAGCACCATTGTAATGCATTTTAATTTAAATCTATAACCGGTCTCTAATCTTCTTTACGCTGTATCTTGTTTTTGTTTTCGAAGCTATTTAGTAGGCAGTGGTATTATTTAATTTCTATTCAAACTGAATTCTAGTCACTCATGATTATTCATGCTTTAGTTTTATAATAGCATGCCATTATTTTTATTTCAGGCAAAACAATAGTTGATCTCCAGCAGGAAAATATTAAGATGACTGTAATTCAGTGCATGTTAGGGAGAGGAGCTTTGTTTTCCATGATCATGCCAACTAAATCTAATCTCAGCAGATACATGTCATCCGGGTTGTGGTCAGAGTCACGCAGGGTCATTCAGTAGGGTCCTGTGTACCGATTATGGGCTCACAAGCATACCACTCTTCGAGACTGACGTGGCACTGTGGAGTGCTTTGGTTTCTTTGTATATTCTCATGAGATTCCTTTCTGTTCTGCGCCTCATGGCCTCATGAAGCCGTTGGGCTCCCTCCTTTTGCGGAGAGGTGTGCTGCTCTGGCGGGGCCACAGTCCCCGCGCGGGAAAGGAACTACTTTCCAACCCACATGAACTATGGTGAGGAGACCCGTCCTCCAAGTTCCCTGCCAGGTGTCTCCTTATCTCATGAGTAGGCCCTTTGTGTCTGTCATTGCCACTTTCGCGCTGGATTTAAACGTGAAAAGGGGTGCCTGGGTGGCTCAGTCAGTTAAATGTCCGACTTGTGTCGAGGTCAGGATCACACAGCTCGTGGGTTCGAGCCCTGCGTCGGGCTCTGTGCTGACAGCCAGCTCAGAGCCTGGAGCCTGTTTCAGATTCTGTATCTCCCTCTCTCTCTGAACCTCCCCTGCTCACGCCATCTCTATCTCAGAAATAAATAAAACATTTTAAAAAATAAATAAATAAGCATGAAAAGTGTTATCTTCCATATCTTACTCAACTCGGATGTGGTAGTGCGGAATTTGTGTTTGGTGAAACCTAAAGTTATCAAGTGCGTATAGTTTTAGAAATTCTCAAAGCTCTGTGACAACCTGGGGACTCATGAAGATCATCTTGTCTTTCTCTTTAGCCTGCAAATATCCTCTTGGATGAACACGGACACGTCAGGATATCCGATCTTGGTCTTGCCTGTGACTTTTCCAAAAAGAAGCCACACGCGAGTGTGTGAGTAGCACATCAACTCTGTTCACCACTGTTTCTCTTCATTGACACGTTGATTCGCTCAGACCCCTACCTGGTTACTTGTTTCCCCTGCTTTTCTTGCCAGAGGTGATTGTGAATATGTGATAACACTGGGCCTAGGCTCGCGGCAGGTGCCAAATTCCTGACTATGGGAGAGGAGATTGGTGAGGAGCGTGGATGGACCCACAGCATGATGGCAGGGGCCGGGGTGTCTCCGCAGCACACCTGAGCCCATGACGGCCGGGTGACCCTCATCAGTCAGTTTACCTGCTTGACCCTCTGTGGTCTTCTCTGTAAAGTACAGGCGGTAGTAAATTCCTGCAGGTTCTCTGTCCTATGGATAAAGGGAAGTCTGTGTGCCCGGGTGGGTGCAGAGGCATCTGTGTGGAACTCTCCAAGGGATGCCCAGAGGTCAAGTGTCTCTCTCCATCTACTTTTCTCCTTCATTTTCAAAGTGGCTTTTTTTTGAAGGGAAATTAGGAACCTTTTTTTTTTTTTTTTTTTTGTTAAATGAAAAACACAAATCATCTGCTTGCAGGTCATGTTAGACCTGAGCGCTAATTATATCAGTCCTCCAGCAGACCAGGTGGGGGAACCCGGTGCCCCAGCCCCTGCCAGCTCCTGATCCCTCCACACACCCCCCCCCCCCAGAAGCTCCAGTGCAGGGGCATAAAGCACCATCCCAGGGTTCCGCGGAAGCAGAACGGGATGTGCACTGATTTTCATTTCTGTTTCTTCGGTTCTCACTCTATCTGAGTGGCAAGTATAGACGTGTGCGCAGTCCGTGGAAAAGCAGATGAGCGTTGCTTTTACTCTTTCTCTTTGTGAACGTATCGCTCTCAGCACTGAAATCTTTGAAAATTACATTTTACTGTCCACCTTGAGCTAACATTCATCTCCGTCTTGAACGGGCTTGAAGAAACTCCCTGGCGTCTCCTGTCATGCATCCATGTAGAAAATAAACCACAGACCCTTCTTTCTGTGGGTCTAGAAGTAAAGTGTCCCTGTGTGGCAGTGCGTGAGGACGGCCTGCGGTCAATCAGAATCGCCTTGTAAGGCGCCGATCAGACGTGAGTGGCGGATAGCACACCGACTGTAAACACGGCTCCCCTTCCCTCGCAATCTGGGGTGCTGTGATAATGGCATTAGCATTTTGCCGGCACTTTACAATTATTAGGCTCAACCTGTGGTTGCATAAGCCTCTCTCTGAAGTTCATCAGACGTTTTTAAGAGGGTTATTTGAATTTTTAATGCCGCAGCTATTTGGTATGCTAATTTCTTCAACTTAGTGTGGCCGCCCCTGAATAGGAATCCAAGAGCTCAGGAGAGTTAATCTTGCAAAGGAATTAACTTGCAGCGATGGGGTTGTTTTTCCTTACACAGGGGCACCGCTTCTTACTGTAACTTACCCCTCGGCCCCAAAAGGTGCGCTGTTCTCAGGATTCCAGCAGTGGCTACAAAAAGGGGGAGGAGCCGGGAGGTGGTTTCTACACTTACATGGTCATAATGAGGCCTCTGTATAAAAAGGGTAAAGGCACAACCAAACACTCTTATTATTTTTTTAAGTAAAGGGGGCGTGTGTTGGCCAGGAACAAGACTTCCGAGTCAGCAGATCTGGGTTTGAATCCTCTTCCAAGTCGTGTCTCCCTTCTCCCCTCTCTAAAGAGGACACAATAACGCCGTTAATTCATCCAATGGTCGTGAGGGTCAGGTCAACTGACAAATTCAGCACGTTTTTATGTAACACTGGCCGGTGCCAGGTTCGGGCAATGCCGTGGGGTCCCCCTGGCGCCCACTGTGTGGGACGTGGCCCGTGGGTCGTGGCGGTAGTGCCAGCAGCCACAACGCTCTCCGTGTTATCAGTTGAATATCCGCTGACCCAGGCATGCTCGGCCAGCTGCTCTGAATCCACTCTGATCTTCACAGAAACACTGGACGTCATAGGTAGAATTAGCTACTTTATGGTGTGGACCCTGAAGTCCAGAGAAATCGAGGTCATAGCCCTGGTGCGTTGTGGGGCTAGAATTACAGTCCACTTCTGTCTCCAGGGCTTACACTCGGGCAACCTCCCTGAGGCTCAACGAAACCACCATTGCCTCGGTTTCTCCAGTCTTTTCAGAGCTGCAGATGCGATCCTTGGACTCCACCTAGCTGGTCTGCCTACAAGCGGTGTTGTGGTTGAGGCTCCCCGTTTGGGCTTAGACTTAGTCCATTCAGTGATGGGATCGCGATTTACCAAAGGGGAAAGCTAACTGTGCAGTGGCCCTGAAAAGTCAAAGAAAACCTTCCGTATTTGAACAGACTTCCGCAGGCCGATTTGAGTTCCCGCTTACTTGCTGTAAGAACACAAGGCTGCATCTCACGTCACAGTGTCTCAAAACCTTCACGGGCTCTTTCAGTGTTCGTAGTCGTTCGGATCGCCAGCACGCAGTGTCAGGAAGCCCAGTAGTGGCCGTGCGGGCCGAGTCAGAAAGCCACGGGGGCCGGTGGTGCAGTATTTGGCCCCGATCCAGTGTCATCTTAGCTGCTCTGCACTAACCTGTTGTGGTCACCCTCACCATATTTTCCCTTTCCAGAATTGGGCTTTGATCCCAAGAATCATAAGGGCTCAAAATTCACCACAAAGGGCTTCTGGGGCAACCCTGAAATTAACCCTTCCCAGAGACTGGTTTGGAGCCTCCTTCATGGAAACCTCCAGTGCCCTCATAGCGTGGCCAGGTGACCTCATGCCGTCAGACTCTGGATTCCGGGCCGTGGAGCTTCTCCTGGGGCCGGACCCGCCCGTGGCGGACCAGCGCCCGTGTTCACAGTCCCAGAGCAGCCTCCCGAATAGAACTCTAACGTTAGACAGAGAGCTCTGGGCACAGTGCTGATCCTGGATTGGCAATGATCATGAACGACCCAGGAGCGCTTTTCTGAGCAGATTGTCAGTGAACGTGGCTTAAGAGCCATTATAATAAAATAAGACTAGAGATTAAAAACCCCTGACACAGACTGAATTCTTCTAACCCTCACTGCAACCTTGCACAGTGAAGTGTTGCCTCCTCACCCATCTTGTCAAGGAAGATCAGTGAGGGCTGGGCAGGTTGGAGGGCGTGGCTTTTGCAGGAGCCCTTTCGGGCTGCTTTCTTTGCAAGCTCCCGCTCCCCCCCCACGAGCCACCTCTTGCTTGTCTAGATGGAATAGTGCACACTCGGATCCTTAAGGAGGGGCCCCGAATCGAGCATCGGGAAGGGATTCAGAGCTGCAGAAGAGAAGAGTGCAAGTTGTAGATAAAACGGCTGTCCTCCCAAATCTTCTCAACGTCCTGAAAAGCCATCCTCACGGTTGCCTAGCGGAGTCCTCTGACCTGTTGGTAGCCCTTGAAACCCGACACAGGATTTCTCTGTCTTTTTTGCTTTTTAAACTTTTTAAAAGTTTATTTATTTTGAGAGGGAGAGGTGGGACAGAGAGAGAGAGACAGAGAATCCCAAGCAGGCTCTACACCGTCAGCCTGATGCAGGGCTTGATCTCACAAACTGAGATCTTGACCTGAGCTGAGATCAAGAGTTGGATGCTTAGGGGGCGCCTGGGTGGCTCAGTGCGTTGAGCGTCTGACTTCGGCTCAGGTCATGATCTCACGGTTTGTGAGTCTGAGCCCCACGTGGGGCTCTGTATGACAGCTCAGAGCCCGGAGCCTGCTCCAGATTCTGTGTCTTCCTCTCTCTGCCCCTCCCCTGCTCATGCTGTCTCTCAAAAAATGAACAAATATTTTTTTAAAAATTGTTTTTAAGTCAGATTCTTAACCTCTGAGCCCCCCAGGCGCCCTGGATTTCACTGTCTTTTGTACCTGCTGGCTCATGTCCCCCCTTCCTCCCCACTCCCTCCTGGTCTGTCACTGACTGTGTGAGTAGCCCCCACACTTAGCCTGTGGCAGCCCAGGTCCTCAGCACGGAGGGCGAGGGTGGCACCACAAGGGAGGGATGTAGCCGCCCTTCCTGGTCCATGGCGCCACCTGCAGGTGCCTGCTTATCACCCCCTCCCCCACTGCACCCCAGCCCCTTACAAGTCCTCACTAGAGCTCTGGACCGGGCAGGAGGCATCGCTGTGGTGCAGGAAGACCAACACTATTCAGATTTCCCCTCCGGGACTGAAGCTTGCATTCTGTCATGTTCCCCTTGGACTGTCCTTTATTTACATTCACTCCTACGCTGATTAAGACAGAAATGGTTGATTTCCCGCTGGGTGCCTCGTGGATCACGCTGTGTCCCCATCATCCCCTCCCCCTCCTCGACAGGTGCTGTCACTTAACAAAAGGCGTCTGACCCTCTCACCAGCTGTTGGTTTCCTAAGGTGGGCCTGCCCCGCTAACCGGGTGTGTACTTCTTCTCCCTAGTGGCACCCATGGGTACATGGCTCCGGAGGTGCTCCAGAAGGGGACGGCGTATGACAGCAGTGCCGACTGGTTCTCCCTGGGCTGCATGCTTTTCAAGCTCCTGAGAGGGTGAGTGAGCCACATCCTTTTCGGGCCATTGCCGTGGAGTGTTCTCAGATAGGGATGCAGACTGGTTCGATATCACTGGGCCCTGACGTCAGTTTAGGTCACCCACGCTATTCTAGATGGCGACCCTGGCTCCTCCTGCCTCGTAGAAGTGAGAGCTTCATGCCCAGAACCTTTTAGGCAAAAGGTTACGGTGTTTGTTTGTTTTTTTAATTTTTTAATGTTTCTTTCCTTTTGAGCCAGAGACAGAGCATGAGCAGGGGAAGGGCAAAGAGAGAGGGAGACACAGAATCCGAAGCAGGCTCCAAGCTCTTGGCTGTCAGCACAGAGCTGGATGCGGAGCTCGAACCCACGAGCCATGAGATCATGACCTGAGCTGAAGTCAGACGCTTAACTGACTGAGCCACTCAGGCGCCCCTCGGTTTCGTATTTTTGTTCATACCTCTCAGGAATGCCAACACACTCACACCCTAAAAAAGAACTGCTTTGAAATGTCCCCATCGAGAAGCCTTATTTGGGGGCATAAGTGTTATTATCAAATGTAAATCATTAAAGGAGGTAGGATAATTTTTTTTTTCCACCAAGAATCAGTTACTCAGGATCATCTTGCCCGTGTAATGCATTTTGAGGGTCACAAGAAGGGACCCAAGACCCAAAGTGAACTGAGTATAAAAGCATGCATTTATTTGTAAGCATGCTGAAGTTAACCTGCTTTTGTTTTAAACACAAAACTGAAGCTGCGTTATGCTGTGTTTTTAATTAATCAGTGTTAATCAACCACAAAAGATGGTGAAACAGAGCCGAAGGATTATGAAATGAAAGCACTGTCAAAATATGTTCTCCCATTGAGCATAACGATTACGTTAACACTCCCATTAATTTTAAGTTTAAGAATTTGCAGCCAACCGGAAAACGGCGCCTTAAGTTTTGCAGCTCTGTTTTTGGTGATTCCTCATTCACAAAGACACAAAAAGCGCTTCATGTTAAAACGTCCTGGTCAGGGTTCCCCCTCTCATATTTCTGCTGTGAAATGGGTCCAGTCATTTGCTGGGCTTTTCCATTACCCCCGGGGAGCCTCCGTGATCACTGCCACATCTTCTCCTGGTGTTGAGCCCGTTCCACAGAGAGGCCGGATTCCACGTTTCCCCCCAAATTAGGTTCCAAGCACCCTCGCCGCTTCCTCAGGACCCCAGTAATCTAGTTGTTCTCTGCTCCTCATTTTCACTTGGGAACATAAATCGTGTTACCGCTCCGAGAGTCAGGTCCTGTTGGGCCTTAATCAAGTTACTGTATTTGTGGAGCCTGGATGGGCCTAATTCACATCATCAGACTTGCTGACCTAATTAGAGAGTTTCTGCAAGACAGGCCAGAGCAAGCCACCTCCCACGCGAGATGTCCTTCCACTGGGTAAAGGCTCCACACGCGTGGCAAGTGTGTGGAGATGCGCCCCAGGTCTGTGTCCGGGACCCGCCGGAGACGAGGCTGGAGGTGCAGAAGCCGCACTCACAGAGTCGTGAGATGGTAAAATTCTGTGCACCAGCAAAACCGCTGAATACATTAAGATTCAAAAGTCGATAGTAAAATGTCCCGGGCTATGTAACCTGCAAAGCCATACATTTAGGGCTTTGTTCACTTCTTTGTTTGGCATCAGTCTATCTGTTTATAATAGTGTCCATGCATATAGATTGGGGACGATCTGGCGTGACACTGTTTTTAAAAAGATCTGAAATTATTAATTATTAACGGTATGCCAGCAGTGTGATTTGTGGCTAATCAAGTGAATCCGGGGTGCCTGGGTGGCTTGGTCGATTGAGTGTCCAGCTGTGGCTCAGGTCATGATCTCACAGTTCATGGGTTCGAGCCCCGCATCAGATTCTGTGCTGACAGCTCAGAGCCTGGAGCCTGCTTCAGATTCTGTGTTACCTTCCCTCTGTGCTGCTGTGTGGAAGGGTGGGGGTGGCGGTTGCTGTTTTTCTAGACAGGTGCTCAGATACGGAAGCCAGGAAGCTAGGGGGCCCGATTCGAGGCAGCTGGGGGGGTAGTGACATCATCACCAGAATCAGTGGCTGTAAAGTGTCGGTGGTTCCTATGAAACGCCACACTGGTGTCAGCAGGGAAGGGCTCTGCCCAGGAGCCCTCATCCCCTCCAGCTGCAGATGAGGGACAGTGTCACCTGTACCAGTGCCTCACAAGGTCACGTGTGGGGAGGACACGGAAGGTATGTCCAGAAGGAACCTGTTCAGTTTTCACTGACTGCCTAGAAGGGAGCCCCGAGCAACTGGGTTTCCTCCTACACAGGGGGCTGAGGAAGCAAGGCAGCAGGGCGGGGGGTGGAGGGGGGAGGAGGGGGAGGAGGGGGAGGAGGGAGAAAGCGCTGGCCCGCAGGCCCTGCCCCCCTGCCTCCTGGCGCCCCCACAGGACCCCCACAGCGCAGGTCCTTGCAGAAGGGATCAGATGCCTTGTTGGCTGCTGCCCGGGGATGTTTTTGGTTGTCACAGCTTTGGGAAGGGCTGCTGCTCCCTGGTGGAGGCCAGGGATGCCACCCAGTATGTCACAGTGGTCCAGACGGGCCCCCGCACACACTGTCTGGCCCGAGAGGTCAGTGGCGCCGAGGATGAGAAAGTCTGAGAAAGTCTGCTCTCGGCAGGTCCCTTCCATCCTTCCCAAGCCCCTGCGGTGAGGCCGCGCAGGTGGTTGCCAGCAGGTCTTCTGCCTGCAGCCATGGGCCAGCGTGTCCCCGCTGCCTCTGCCGAAACACTGTTCTGCACCCCTGCTTTGCCTCAACACCCTAAAATAACACCACAGGCAGGGAAAGGAGCACGCTGCCCGGGGCTGAGCTTGCGTTCTGCCTCCCTGGACTCACAGCCATGGACCGAGCCACCCAGAGGCCCTGTGTCCGGGAGGCGGTCGCTATTTCCCCCTCACGTGACTTTGGCTGGTGTTGAACATGTGTCCACATTGCAGATGTGTGGGACTGCTGTCGTGGCCCTCCGTCCAGAGTTCAGATGTCTGCTAAGGAAAAGATTTGATGTGACAGTGGCTTTGATCCTAAACTTGTCACCACGGAACATCTGTCCCTGAAGCTGTCAGACACAGGGAGAGAGCCTGGGTGGCGCTCTGGGGACAGCTGAGCTCCGCCCGAGGTTACCAAGATTGTCCCTGTAGGGAAGAAACAGGGAATGTTTATAAATATTTTGGCAGCTATTGGCTTAGGTTCAAAGCTCCCATTTGAAGCAACGTACAATCTTTGTCGTGCTCTAAAATTAATCTTTGGCATAAGAGCTTTGGATCACTCGTACTTAGAATGTACTGCTTTTGAGCTCATTGTTTCACTGTGAGTATGCTCTGTCCTGCGTGTGTGTGTGTGTGTGTGTGTGTGTGTGTGTTCCCAGCATTCTGACACCTCGAATGATTTCCAAACTTGCCTGGGGGAAATTTGCAGCGCTCCCACTCAGTCTAATTTGCAAGCCGTTCACAAGCCACGGCTGACCCTCGCGCGTGTGAAGTCTCTTTCGCGTCTTTTCCCCACTGCAGCCAGCGTGTCGCATGCCCTGCAGGCTGCTGGCAGCCCGGAGACCCTCTCCTATTTAAAGCGGCTGTGGCACTGAGCAGCTGCAAGGCACACGGGATCTGTGAGCACCACGTGCCTCCCTCAGAACGGAGATCATCACTCTCGTGGGGTCTCTTTAACATTCTCCAAAATAGAAACAGCATCTTTGGTTTTGCGCACAAAGAATAATCAAGACTACATTGGAAACAGATGTGAAGCAAGATCTTGCACTTGAAAGACCAAACTTTCTCAGTGCTGCAAGCCCGGAACCGAATCGCTGGAAAGCATTTCCGACCATTTTTGCCTGGAGCCGGGCATGGACTAGGCCAGATTTCTAGCACGGGGGTCGGGGGTGGCAGGGTTCAGGCGCTGGAAATGGGTTTGGCACCACTGACTTTAACTCCGCTCCCCCTCGCCAGCCTCCTTCTGGTCTTATGAAAGACTTTAAATTTAGCACAGAGCGTTTCTGTCAGAACACAGCAGGCCTTCTCTGCAAGGGTCAGGGCACAGCCCTTTCCTTCCGGCGGCAGACACAGGCAAGTGCACGGGGGTCGGGAGCAGGAATGGGGGGTCCCCCGGCACGGCACACAGGACGCAGAGCAGCAGGATCTGCACACGGTCCCTTTGTATGGGTTCAGGGACTTTGCAGGGCGGAAACCGCCATGTCCAGCAGAGAGGCTAAAGTGCTAGTAGATTTAAGAAACTTACTCTTCTTTCTCTTGAACCGTGAACGTATTAATATCTCTCTGTGTCTTTTCCAGAAGAGAATGATACAAGTAGTGATTTTTTAAAATTATACTATCTTATAAATAAGAGATACCATTTGATAAATACCATTTGTTGTCATATTCTATTTGCTTTTTTTAATGTTTATTTTTGAGAGACAGAGAGAGAGAGAGACAGAGCATGAGCAGGGGAGGGGCACAGAGAGAGAGGGAGACACAGAATCCAAAGCAGGCTCCAGGCTCTGAGCTGTCAGCACAGAGCCCGATGCGGGGCTTGAACTCCTGACCCGCAAGATCGTGACCTGAGCCGATGTCTGATGTGCAACCAACCGACTGAGCCATGCAGGAACCCTCTTATTTGCTTTTTCAATGCAGTAACTTTACATTTTTCTTTTTGGACACAATGAGGGTGAAAAGGACACACTGCCGGTCAAAATCTAGTTTAAAGATCAGTGTATGTTTGCTTAACCCTAATTCACCGTGTTTTAGATTTTATTGCTTTCAAGACATGGAAATTACTTTGTATTCTGTTGCACGATAAGGAGGGAAGGAAAGCATTAGGGTGCCCTCTCTCGTACGAAAGGAACATCAAAATATTTAAAATAATAAAGGCTCTGAAATGTAGTCATCTCTTCCCAGTGATGCATCAGTGCCGACTTGACTAGTTCGGCGGGATGGGTGGACGGCAGCTGGGAGTAGGGCAAGGACTGGGGCAGGATTAGTTCTTTATTCTATAGCGCATTCGTTTCTGTGCTCAGTATTCCAACCCAGTGCCTACACTTCCAAATATTTGCCAGAGTATCTTGCCCCCGATTATGTTATATATGCCTTAGAAATAAATCTGTAGGATTTATAATTTTATGGGCCTGTCTTGCCATATAAGAGAACTCATTCATATATATGTGTATGTCCTTTAAATTTCAAGTAAATAAAGGCCAGGATTTTGTAACTTGCATGTTTACTGGCCTCTTTTGATAAGATTTTCCTTAAAAGCCAACTTCTCCAGGGTTTCCACAGCAGGGTAAAGAGGAAGAAGGACTTGTTTTTACATAGTTTATCAAGCAGACCTTCGTTGGCTAAAGTAAGATTCAGCTTTATTAAGTTCACGAATGACTGCTGGGTCGGACCCCGCCTGCATTCCACCGTGTCCTGCCGGCATCCACATTGTTCTCTTCATTCCCTGTCGCGATTTCCGCGATGCGGCCCTAGGCCCGTTTACAGATGCAGAGATGGATGCTGACGGTTTCCGTGACTGGTTCACAGCCAGTCAACACCCCAGTCACAACCTTGAACCCATGTCTGCTGACTCCTGAATTTGGGGCTTTCCCAAAGTAAAACACGAGTGAGTGGCTCTCAGAGCCGTGGACAGCCTGGGGACACTGGGTCAGTTTATATCTGCAGTTTATATCTGTCATCATCAAAGGAAGGTATTACTTAAAGCTACTGGTTTCCAGTGGGGGGGGGGCGGGGTTCCCCCTTGACGTGTTTTGTTTTGACTGCAGTTCTTTGGATTGTTTGAGGGACTAACATCCATTTTTCTAAAAAAAAATAAATTTGTACGGAAGTGATTATCTCGAACACAAAAGTGACAAATGTTATAAATGACCTTCATTTGCATGGCTACTGGTTAGCCAATTATTTTCTCTTTAACAATATTTTAAAATATCGTGGGGAATATGTCTGCTGACGCATATTGTAGTGCCCTGATTTCACCGACGTGAGGATCAGACCGTTCAGGCGAGCGTAAGTGCCCCCCTTCAGAACCTAACGCCCCTCAACACCACCTTTTCTCTGGAAATGGTGCATGTGTACGGCTTTGGCGTTTCTTTAGTTTCCGACGAACAGTGACAGAACACAGTCCTCTGGGCAGGTATGAGCCGGGGACGTGTGCGTGAGGGACCCCGTACCACATCATCATAGAGTGTTGTTCTTTTTCACAGGCACAGCCCCTTCAGACAACACAAAACCAAAGATAAACATGAGATAGACCGGATGACCCTCACCGTGGTAAGGAGAATAAAAAATCCATTTTTCTTTTAAATGTTTGTTTATTTTGAGAGACTATGCGTGTGACCAGGGGAGGGGGCGGGTGTGGAGAGAGAATCCCAAGCAGGCTCCACGCTGTCATCACAGGGCATGAGGTGGGGCTCAGACTCAAAAACCGTGAAATCTGGACCTGAGCTGGAATCCAAAGTCAGACGCCTAACCGGCTGAGCCACATAGGTGCCCCTAAAAACGCCATTCTTATTCACCTTATAAAGTTCACGTTTCATTGCATTGGAACCAGCGTAGAAACTTGCCTTCCTAAAACAAGTGAGCGAGACACACTTCCTAGAAGAATTCCTAACTGGAAATTTAGTGGAAACAGACGCCAACGCAGAAATCAAGTCTTGCCACCCATCAGTAAGAGAAAGATACAGGAGAAAAGAAAGTAAAGAGAATAAAGAAAAGGAAACATTGCTGAGGTTCGAGAGAGCGAGGAGACCTCCCGTGTTTCCCGGCCTGTTGATTGCCGTTGAAAATGATTACTAATCGGGGGCGCCTGGCTGGCCCAGTCGGTGGAGCCTGCAGCTCTTGATCTTGGGGTCATGAGTTCAAGCCCTGCCTTGGACACAGAGATTACTTGGGGGGGGGGGAGAAAGGAAGTGATTAGTAACAGTTTCCCATTTCTTTAGAGTAAATATTAATTCGTGATGAATCTGCAGCTTTTAACACTCTTCCTCCACGAAATGGCCTTCCGGGGTGGTTGGGCGTCAGGGCCGTGTTTCCAGGAGAGCATCTTTGACACCGTGTTCTTTTCTCTCCCCAGAACGTGGAGCTCCCCGAGGCCTTCTCGCCGGAGCTCCGGGCCCTCCTCGAAGGCCTGCTCCAGAGAGACGCCAGTAGGCGGCTCGGCTGCCGTGGAGGAGGGTAGGCCCTTCGTTTCGCTCTTTGGTACCGTCACCCAGGACACCCGACAGCTGTTCTCAATACACCACAAGTCATTGCCAGCCCCCCAAAAGGTCCCATTTCAATCCAAGTTGGGGGGGATTACATGAGAAATACACATGCTGTTCTCAGTGTTTTATAATTAACGAGTTGATTATAAAGGAGTCATTAACTTCTTAACTTTAAAAATCAATCATGCAGATGGTGGAAATGAGCCCTGACCTTTTGCAGTTCACCTGGTGAAGTTTTACTAATTATGTCTGCAACGATGGCAGTTCAGGACCCCGATCCAGCCGCCTGCCCCTCGTTTCCACTCACGCCTAGCCGGCCAGCTGCTGTCTTTAACACACTTCCTAGCAGCTGTCCGTCCACTGGGCGAAAACTACAGTAATACCTGGAAGGCTTACAGAGGAGGGTGTAAAGCAGGCCTTTCCCTGTGCCCCCCCCCACCCCTGGCCTCCGCAGGGCTGGCTCTTCTTCCCATTGCCAGGCATGCGTGGCATAAGCAGCGGCTTCTAGAATGAGCAACGTAGGTGAAGTGTGGTGGGGGGTACAGACCTCCGGTTATGGAAGGACTGGACTAAGTCACGGGGGTGAAAGGCACAGCCCTGAGAATATAGTGGGTGGGACGGTAATAGTGACAGCCTGGTGATGGATGGGAGCTGGGCCCGCAGTGAGCACAGCATAGTGTGTAGACGTGTATCCTTCCACGTGCACCTGAACTGACCTAATGCTGTGTGTCAGTTGTGCTTCAGTTAAAAAAAAAAGTTTAAAACAAAACAAAACAGAAACGACTTTTAACCATACATGGTATGTCCCATGTATATGCATATGTGTATTGTAGGGTAGCATGGATGTGTATATACATATCATGTATATTACATGTATGTTGTATAGGTAGCTGAGTCATGTGCTTGTGTGCATACTTCTTTTTTTAAGTTTATTTATTTGAGAAAGATCGCACGTGAGCGGAGGAAGGTTGTGAGGGGGCGCAGAGAATGCCAAGCAGCTCCACGCTATCAGTGTGGAGCTGATGTGGGGCTCAAACTCATAAACCGTAAGATCATGACCTGAGCCGAGATCAAGAGTCAGGCGCTTGACCGACTGAGCCACCCAGGCGCCCCTGCATACCTCCTTCTTTATTAATTTGAGAGGTTATCCATTCCTGTTGATACAGATGAAGATTTAGCTCTGTCACCTTCCCTTTCTACCAGCCCTCAAAAGAATTGAAACTCTGTTTGCTTAACCCGTGCAGTTTTTTTTTTTTTTAATGCTTTTTAATTTATTTCTGAAAGAGAGCAAGCGTGTGAGCAGGGAAGGGTCAGAGAGAGAGGGAGACACAGAATCTGAGGCAGGCCTGAGCTAGCAGCTGTCAGCACAGAGCCCGACGCGGGGCTTGAACCCACAGACTGTGAGATCATGACCTGAACCGAAGTCGGACGCTTAACTGACTGAGCCCCCAGGCGCCCTGCAACCCGTGCAGTTTTAAATGGTCCACTTACCCACTTGTGCCATGCTCCCCCAACTACATACAGTGTCTCTTGAATCACTACTTTAGAAAATGAGGGTCTTGGCATCCCTGGCTTGCACTGCCCTCTTCTGTCCCCCTGACTGGTTTCTGTCCCTGTTCATTTTTATTTTCCCCTGGTCGGGCTGATCCGGGGTGCCCGCCTGGCCTGGAGTGGACCTCACTTCGTGTGCGCTCTATATGCGGTCTCCACATGTATGTGCCGGCTTTCATTTCCTCCTGAGTTGTTTTCGGGAAGGGTTCACACCCACTAGCTTCAGTGACTACTGACGGCTCGGGTTCTGCTAGTCAGCACCACCCCTTCTGGCCTTCCCTCCTGTTGCTCTTCGGGCTTGAATCTGCCATTTACTTGATCCCATGCCTTCTGGGGACCCCTCCCACCCCCCCATGCTAGACCATGTTCTCAAGGAACTCCTTCAGAGAAGGGGTACGAGAGGTAAACTCTCTGTTCTTACACATCCCCAGTGCCTTCCTGCCGTCCCCAAACTTGACGGACGTTTTGGCTGGCTGGAGAGTTCGGATTCGATAATGATTTCCCCCCAGAACTTCGGAGATGCCGCGTTACTGTGGACAGTAAAGCCGGTCACGGAGCTCTGTTCTCACTCACTCACTCTGTCCGGCACTGAGAGTCCAAGCTCCTCGGCTTGGGGAAATACCGTTATTTTATTTATTGGACATCCGCTCTCTTCTGTTTCCTTGGTTAGCTCGCAGAATTCCTTCTGGGCCACTGTGGGTCAGCAACATGGATGACTGTGTATCACCTGTGTCTTTGCTTTGATTCTCTTCTATTTTCTGATGCCTTACATTTCCAATTCATCTTCTGATTGCTCTTTGAAATCTTTAGCAGGCTTACTTTCTTTAAAATAGAATCTTTCAAAGGTTCCCCCCACTGTATTAGAATAAGCACCTAGCTGCAGGTGTTTGGGGTTAGATATGGAGGAAGTATGGTGTGTGTGTGTGTGTGTGTGTGCACGCGCGCGCGCGCTCGTGCTAAGGGTTCCATATACAGAGTTCAACCTGTGTCTCCAGCCTGTGTCTCACCATCCCCCCTGCCCCACCCTGTCCACACACCCCTACACACACACTGTGTTGAGCCTGGAGCTCAGCTCCTCTGTCTCCCAGGCAGCAGCCCGGCCATTTCTTGCTGACAGTCCCTGCTCCTGCGTCCACACCCGTCCTGTCTGCTGATGGTTCCCCAACGCTCTTGGTGGTACATTTATGTATCCATATTCCTCTTCCCTCATTTTAGTGATCTTTGGGAAGGAACCCAGCAAAATGCAAAGGGACACCTTCTGACGAGGATGTCCTTCCTCCACTCAGCAGGCACTTCCTGAACACCCCCTGAGTGGCAGCCAGTGTCCTAAGCACTGGGGCCCAGCTAGCATGCAGGACAGACGCAGCCCTGCCTTCCTGGGGCTTATGTGGGGGGTGGGGTAACAATAGCTGTAGAAACGATGGAATAAATGAGATGAACCCAGACCGTGAGAAGAGCGCGAGTGAGTGAGATAAGTAAGGCAGTGCTGTCGTTGAGACCTCAGCCTTGGGAGGGGGTGGGGAAGGACCCCCCAGAGCTTTGGACACATGGCATTATTGTGGACAGTAAGGCTGGCCGTGGAGCTCCGGTATCTCTCATCACGTCCAGCACCGAGAGTCCTGTGTCCTGTGGAGTCCAGCTTCCCCGGTGCCCAAAAGCAGCGAGGCCGGGGAGCCAGGAGAGGGAGGTCAGGAGCCGGTCAGAGAGGCGCTGGGCCCAGGCAGGCCCGGTGCACCGTGTCCCTGTGCTTCCGCTGCGAGTACAGCAAGGCATCTGGAGAGTCTCGGGCAGGGGTGTGGGCAGACTAAAGAGGTGATTTGGGGGCTGCAGGGTAGAGCTGGGGTTGCAGGCTGTGTGGCCAGGGTGCCAGCTGGGGCGGGGTCAATTAGGGCCATTCGGGGAGCCGGACAGGGAGCTGAGTGGTGGCAGTGTGGGACATTTAGCATCCCCTCCATGATCAAAGACCCCGCTGCCCCCACCGGGAATCTAGCACTGTGAGGATTGGAGGCGGCAAGAGGTAGTCGGCCCCAGGGCTTGGCGAGGGGTGGGCCGTGGAGTGTGGGGGAAGTCGGGCATGGGGGGTGATCGGCTCCTTGGACCAAGACAGCAAGGTATGAGAGGAAGTCCGTTCTGCAGACCTTCCGCCCCATCAGGTAGACGTGCCAAGTAGGCACTGGGTGGGGGGAGGGATAAGGAAGCCGCCGAGGACAGACAGAGTGGTCCGCAGGTTCAGGGTACGGTCACCCAAGGAGTGAGAGCAGACGCAGGGGGCTGAGGACCAGCCCTGGGGACTCTGCCGAGGGACAGGGCTGCGGGGGACCCTGGGCAGAGCTTGGAGGGGAGCCCCCAGCGGGGCCCCGGGGCTGTGCGTTTCCCCGACGTCGGCTTTCCTCCCGGGACCCAGTCCCTTTTCCTCTGCACAGACTGAGCTCTCACGGTAATCTCTGGGCAAGCCTGTTCCTGCTGTGTAGGAGGGGGTTGGCGTACACTGTTCCTAGATTTCCAGTCTGCTTCTAATTAACATCTGGTGCTTCCTAGGCCTGCCGTTCGATCCACGATGCTTCATAGACATTTGCTGTACGTCTCCTCAGTGCAGAGCTCTCTAATTTAATTCCCACTTGAGTTGGTTCTCATGCAGAACCCCATGTATTCGTACGGCCGCCACATCCCCTAGGTTCTCTTAAACTGAAATGCACATCCTCTGTCAATTACCATATGGATAATCTGCCTGGTTTCCGCACACAGTACTTCTGAATGTTCTGTGTTTCCTGTGTTGCTTTGAGAGAAGCACATTTTACTTGCTTACTTACAGAACTGAAATAGTCCTCCCTCCGCGTTCGCTCACTAGGAGACAGTTTTTGCAAAATACTGCTTAGGTTTGCAGAGGCACACTCACCACTCCTGTGCCTCTTCCGCAGGGCGCAGGAAGTGAAGGAACACAGCTTTTTCAGAGGCATCGACTGGCAGCAAGTCTACCTACAGAAGGTACTCTGGGACCCCATGCTGGGCACCACTGCTCCCCACTTCCGGAGCCCGTCCCCCTGGGGTCCCGCCCCAGCCTCCCACAGCCACTGGGTCCTTCCTGCTGCCACACGGCCGACTCCCTTGGGGCCTGCTTCTCCCCTGGTTTCCCTCATTTCCACGTTTTGAAAATATCTGCAGTATAAATTAACAAATGCCGAGATGCAGTTGTTACCTGGTGAATTCCAGTGTCCGAGTAACTGAGACACTTTAAGCTTTTGCTCATCTCTTTGACTTCCCATCTCGATCTGTGACCGTGTTTTCATATAGAACCCATCTAGGGAGGGACGAGAAAAGTTGGTAACGAATTTACGTCTGCTTTCTAGCCCAGCACCACACAGCGTTTAAGAGTCAATCTGATGGGAGATCAGCATAACTCCCTCCCCTGACTTTGGAGATATGTTTATATTCCCGTTGATGCAGGAAACCACCCCCCAAATTAAGGTTTTTGAAAAAAATTTTGTAATAGCTCTGGCTTTGTTTTTGCGTGATCTCAGACCATCCAACTATGGAGGCCCGATGCTTTGTTAGTCCCACCTGATGTGAATGAAGGAGTGAGCTCCAGCGTAGCTGGCGCCGGCCTCTGGACATCTGTGGGCGCGGAGCACTCCTCCCGGCCCATGGCAAGTGGCACGGAGCACCGCGCTGTCCAAGAAATCGTGTGTTCCTGAAGATGAGCTGGTGGCGTGTGCCGTCTTGACACTTCATTACATTCAATGCTGCCTTAAGACCCTGGACGTGCATTTTCTTTCCCCCTTCAGCTTCTCTAAAATCTGGGGTCTTTTCTCAGGGCTCTCTGCATAAGGTTCATCTGTGACATACGTGTCGCACCAGGTTACGGGCTCAACCGGAGCGCTCTCAGAATACAGCGTGTCAGTGTCCTGCCCTGTGTTCTCACTACAGAATGGTAGCTTGGGACGGACGGCCATAAGGTGGTCTGATAACTGAACCATTCCTGTTTGGATCTTCTAGTACCCTCCACCCTTGATTCCTCCCCGGGGAGAAGTCAATGCCGCTGACGCCTTTGACATTGGCTCATTTGATGAAGAGGACACCAAGGGCATCAAGGTACACTTGGGGTGTTCGCCCGCAGGTGCTTTGAAGGGTGGGGAGATTTTTATTGGCAGTCAGACTGGGGGAGCATCTTAGTATTGGCCGGCCTGTGGGGTGTCGCCCGTGAACAGATGTCTCCATATTTGAAGAATGGAGCCGTCGAGGACCTAACTTAGAAGCCATGAAAGCTTTCTCCTGGCTAATTGTTTTATGTTTGATATACTACAGAATGGTCAGTTTCTTACAAATTTGGAGATATTTGCAATTGAGCTAGAACTTGCGTGTACGCAAAGCGGAGAAAAACAACTGTGTGGTAGCAGACACACTTTGCCTTGTGCTGGAGAGCCAGCCATCTTCATCCTTCTAAGTATTCTGGTCTCCCCATGTTAGGATGAAAAGAGCAAACAGCATGAGTCATCTTGCAGTTGTCAATCAAAAGTGAAATAATCACTGTTTTTTTTTTTTTAATCCTCTGCATGTCTCAAACTTTTGTTCACGTCATTATGTCTCTTGGTAGGCAAGGCATAATTAAGGATGGTGACTCATGGGAGAAAATCCTCCTCAGGGTGCTAAGTCAGGGCGTCTCCCCACGTGTCGGCTTGTGTCTGCCCCCACCTCCCTGGCTTCCCCCAGGACCCCCCCCGTCTCGGTTCAGCTGCCTCATTGTACCCTGTAAGCCCCCCCTCACTTTCCCTAGAGAGCAGCCCCCCCCCCCACCGCCTTGCCCCGGAAGCTCACACACCTTTGAGGACCTGTAGCCAGGGACCCACGGAACCAGAGCCAGTGGGGCCGTGGGGGCAGAAGTGGTGGATACGTGGCTGGGGGATGATGGGAAGATTGCCAGAGCGGAGGGAAACAGGAGGACCCACGGATGCCAAGGGCACTGGGACCAAGGAATGGCAGCTGTGTGGGGAAGGAGGGGCTGTCAGGGGCTGCCAGGCCCAGCCTCCCGGGAGGGGGAGCTAGGGCGAAGGGGAAGTAGAGAGGGCCAAGGCCACTTCCATGGGCTGGCACCATGGCTGTCCCGGGGACAAAGGGCGACTGATGCCTGGACGTGAGCACCACCAGGCGGCGTCTGCAGCCTGGAGAGACATTCACGTCAGAGGCTTACGTACGTCTCCACGGCCAGGCTTTGGGCAGCAGGGTCCTTTAGAAGGATTGCTGTGGTCACCGTAGAATTTGGTCATCACACATACTGCTGTCCGCCAAGGGGTGCTATTGATAAAAGGGCTAGGATGCAGTGGCCCACAGACATTTTTGATATTCAGAAAAGATCCTCATACTTTAAATTTTGTAGACTGTAATCGAGGGTCCAGGGTCCAACAGACCAGGCTCACATCTGCACTTACTGGCTGTGACTGGTTTGGACACCCAGGTTTCCCCAAGGTCGCCTCTCTAAGCCTCCTGGTTTGTAGTCAGTGCCTGAACTAGGATCTTCGATCAGTGTGCTTTTCATTCTTCGTGGCCAAGAACGAGCATGTTCAGAACCAGAAGGGCGTGTGGCCAGGGCCCGCTGGAAGTGGGGGGCCCCAGGACAGCCTCATCCTACTCAGTGGGGGGGGGGGTCCTGAATCTTAAGAAACCATTTATTCTTTATGTTCGAAAAAGCTGCCCAAATAACAATTCTGCTCTTTAAAACAAATGAGCAAACCCAACCAAAAAGCTCACCTCACATACATACAAATTTTCTTTTGTTTTATTCATTTTAACAACCAAGGCCAAGTCCTGAGAGTCAGGCTCTCTGAAAGTCTAGGAGGTGGAATGGTTTGTATACAAAGCCAAGTTGACCCTTTCAGAAGACCTGCTTTGGAAAGAAGTGTGCTTTTACTTCTGGAAAACGCTTCAGATTCTTTCCCGTGTCCCCTGGTCACAGGGTGCCCCCGTGGCCAGGTGCACTGCAGCCCACCACACACACTCGCACGCCACCAGCATTCACGCCCCGGGCCACTGAGGATGTCTGCTCTGGCCTAGCGTGGGCGTCCAAAAGAAACCCCTGAAAGAGAAAAGGAAGGCTCTATGAATCAAAGCGATCCTAAAAGCAACACATGATTGTAACAGTTCACTGAGCACAGGTACGGAACCTCAGTGTGTCACTGATTTGCTCAAGTCTTAGGGGCTTGAGCCTTGGGGCTCAAGTCTTGAGGCTTAAGAGCCCCTTCCTGCTCTTTTTCTTGTGAGTAACTTGCCTGTTATAATGTCTATTCAGTACTTGCCTCCCAGGCAGAGGAGCAAGTGCATCAGGTTCCTCGAGAGAGGTGTGCTTTTTTGAATGACAGATGCATTCTTTTCTCTCGGTGGGGTTGCTCACCTTTCTGCCACAGAACTGTAACTCAGAGGTGCAAAATCCCTTTCTTTGCTCATTTTCAGAGTGCGGCCTCTAAACTCAGGGGAAGGATGAAGAATTTTGAGTCAGAGTTTGGAAGGGAAATGCTGTCAATTAAGTGTGGTTTTTATTGTAGTGCCTCCCCAAGGCTCTGTCGCCCAAATGCCCGTTACCTCTTGGCTTCATGCTTGCACGTGATTGCTCTGTTCACCTGGGTTCTTGGCTGGAAGGTTCATGGAATGAATGGAAAATTTGGCCTCGTTCCCTTCTGTGCATCTCACTTTTCAGACGAATTGAGGGTGGTTAGAAAACCCTCCTGCCTTCTCCCTTTTAATCATTTCTGAAACTACGGGGATCTAGTTTCCTCCTTTTACAGATAAAATATCCACGCCATCGTTGAAGTTTGATTTTGTTGCCGGTATCTTTCCGTACTTAAATAAAACCCTGTATGGGTTAGTTTTTCGTGGGCCAAACCCTGATAAAGTTGGCATAAGAGAATGGGCTGAATTGTAACTGGTCCAGGACCAGAAGTGGGATGCCCTCCGCCGGACCATTGGCGGATCGTCGTTAGCAGATGTGTGTGGCTCCTGGTGAACTGTCGCTGAAGGGTTACTTGGTGTCATTCCGTTATCTTCCCACACACAGATAGGACACTTCTGAATCTATTGCCTTGCTAAGGATGTTAAATCGTTAACTATCTTGATTTCTTAAAATAATAAGCTTCTTGATTGCGACCAAGATCTCTACAAGAACTTCCCCTTGGTGATCTCTGAGCGCTGGCAGCAGGAAGTAGCAGAAACCGTTTATGAAGCAGTAAACGCAGACACGGATAAAATCGAGGCCAGGAAGAGAGCTAAAAATAAGCAACTTGGACACGAAGAAGGTAAAACAGGCAGCGTGCCTCGAAGTATCTTCAGTGCGATGAATTCCTTAAAAAATTTTCTTGTAAAGCTGAAAAAGTATTTGGGTCATAAAGTACTTTCCAGGGGTGGTGGGGGCGGGGGTGGGGGTAGGGATGCCATAAATAGTTTCGTGTGGCTTGGAAAAGTGCAGGATAATATTTCAAAGCTTTGAGTCAACGTATAAATAAAGATGGGCAGCATGGTCATGTCAGCGCGCCCTCTGACCTTGGAACCTTCAGGGCCAGTTGACAGGGTCTTCCTTGAAGACTGAGCGTTGCAGTGTCAGGAGCAGCCCCGGCTTCACGGGCGTGTGACCTAGGCCACCTCAGAGGACACCCCACTGGGCTGAACACTCTGCCGTCACCGCCTTGACATTCTTAATAGTTTTTGAGCAAGGGGTCCACGTTTTCATTTCTCACGGGGCCTCGCAAAGTATGTTGGTTTCGGGTGGGGATCTTAACACGCATGTCACTTGTCAAGAGGGATCGATGGATATAATTACGGTTATTCTACAAACAGCATTGAAGGATTACCAAACCGCATTTTTGTTTAGAACATTTGAGCGCCCTACTGGGATTTCCAAAGTGGCATGCCTGACACCAGGCATCAAACCAGTCAGCCATTCTTGATTCATCAAACATTGTCACTCTTGATTTTCCAAAGATTTTATGAATTTTGGATATTTGAATATATTGTGATTGATGGTGATGGTATCAATTGGCTTCAGCTCTAGGCAAAGACTTTTCTGAGGCTAATGCTATGTAACAAGAATGACCAGAACCAATTTCATTCTGTTACTAAGTTGCTTGAGGGGGGGAGGGGCATCTTGATGCCGGCTCATTCGTCCTGTTGAGTTTGCCAGTAGCATTCAGCACCTGCTCAGAAAAGTGTGCCTGAGCCTGGATGAATCCCTCCTTACGTAAAAGCCCCCCTGAGTACCCCACAGGAGCAGTATAGCCCCGTAACTATGCTCACCTCCGTTCTCCAGGGAGGTGGGCTTTGCCTCTAAGCTGCTCCTGTCCGTTCCCATCATTCTGGACTGTTCGCTGTAGCAAATTTTACATGGCAAGTTACATCGACAGTCATTTGCTCGAGGGAGGGCCATGATGTCACTGGGATCTTGACAGACTGGACCGAGACAAAATGCACCTGAATGACCTTGCCCAAGTGTATCCTTGTAGCGAGAGCTGCATTTACAGCATCTAGGAAATTAACGAATTTATTTTCATATATGAGTGATTGCTTCGGGCATCACTGGGTCTTGGTGGAACATCTCAGGACTCACCTTACAGAGCAGGACAGTCTAGGTTTAGGTCGCTGAAGCAGACCTGCAAGCCTTCTACCTTCGATATACGTTAGCAGTGCAAACAGTTTTCCGTTAAAATGACGCCAGGGGGCCCACCCGATCCCCTCATCCCCCCTCCCCCCACCTTGGTTCTTTTCCCTCCTGCCTGTGACGCAACGTGGGTGTTGCTTGTCAGTTTATCCCGGGGTCGCCTGTGAGGACTGTAGCTCCCTGAGGCCAGGGGTTGGGGCTCCTGTAATATGGGCACTGCTGAACCCAGAGTGCCCAGAACAGGCGCTCCCTTCGTCGCCATTGAATGAACGGGGGGAGAGAGCGACTTTTAGCACAGTCACGGAAGCCTTTAAAGAATCAATGCCAGCCACGTAAAATTAACCTTTAAAGAGAGAGAGACAGAGAGAGACCGTATTTCACTCTAACAACGTGATTAGGACCTACCATGCGCGTGAGCGAGTTGGTCTGTCTAGATAACCGTGGATTTGAGGGATAAACATAACCTTAAGGAATAAGCAGCTTTGATCCGTGTGTTACCTTGGCTGCTTCGTAAGCCCCTAATCATTATTCAGAGGATTGAAGGGAGACCCCCAGAGCCCCTTACAGGCCCAGGTACCTTGGGCAGAGCTTGAATCGAATTCCTCTCTAGTCTCCAGTTCTTGCTACACAGAATGAAAGAACAGTTTGAGATCACGCCTCTGTCCTCTCTGAGCAGTAAGGGAACATCACAAACTCACCGGAATATCGAGGAACAGCCATTTAGTATGTCAGCAGGGACCCAGAGAGGCCTGCTCTTCTGATCCTGAGATAATGGTTTACGTGGCATATTCCACGCCAGAGAAACTTGGTTTTTCCAAAGAGCGTGTTATTCTTTTGTTGTTGTTGTCGTTGTTTCTGAGAATCACACGGGCCATCTGTCCCAGAGCCCGTTTAATTCGCAGCTGTTTTATATTCCTCAGATTATGCTCTGGGAAAAGACTGTATCATGCACGGCTACATGCTGAAGCTGGGGAACCCGTTCCTGACTCAGTGGCAGCGTCGATATTTTTACCTCTTTCCAAACAGACTTGAATGGAGAGGAGAGGGAGAGTCTCGGGTGAGTCAAGTGCCGTCATCAGCACGCGCTGCTGGGTCCTGAGGGCCACACGGCTCTCCTATCTCAGGAAATACCCGCTGAGCTCCGCGTAGCTGTTTAACTTGCGCACGTGAGATTTTGGTGTTCAGACTTTAGCTTTCAAACTTAGCATCAAGGAAGGATTTTGTAACATCTGAAAATAGAACGTGAGAGTTACAGCCAGGTTTGAAGAAGGCTAGAGAGTCAAATAAGAGAATAACAAACAATCTCAGACTTTGGAGTCAGACAGAGGTGCTTAAATCCAGAGCTTAGAGAAGAAGGTCCAGCGCCCGCGACACAGCCCAACAGTTGTGAGTCTGGATGTGCCCAGAGTCTCCCCTTTACCGGGCCTCCCCTCATCAGGCAGTGAGCTGAGTGACGCCAGCCAGGATGCTGGGCGCAGAGGTGAGGTCGCCGAGCCTCACTTCCTCTGGCCTCTGTGGCTTCCATTCCATACGCAGAAAGATACAGCTCAGGTCCTTTTCGAGGGCTAATGTTTGTGAAGAAGGTAAACAGAAATTTCTGATCCCCACTGTCCCTTTAAGCAAGGAAGACAGCATTTATGAAGCGCCTACTGTGTGAGGAGCGGAGGGCTTGTCCCGGGCAGGCAACCCCAGTGGGAGGCACACTTCCGCTCTCATGGAGGGATTGGCCAGGCCTCCGGGGCCAAGGAAGCAGAGCAGGGGCCCCACATCTAGTTGATGTGTTGTGTGTGTCCGAAAACCAGCCATCAGTTGTCTAGTGGTAAGAAGGACAGAAAGTAGTAAACTCTAATCGTGTGCGTTTGACTTTTTGAAATCCCTGTCGGTAAAGTGGCTGTTTAATTATGAGTGATCGCTGGTGCACCTTGCATTCCTCTCTAATGCACAAAACCTTCTCACCATTGCCAGGGCCACAGGGTCCTTCTAAAGCTAATACATCTGGGCTCCAAAGGACTATTACTAAGTCTCTGGGGGTCCCGAATTATAACTCAGGTGCTGGCAAGTATTGTATAATATGAATTATATTTCATATTATAATAATACACTACATATGTGTGGTATATGTTATATGTATTTTATAAATCTATAAACTCAGCACCCAAGTTATAATTCATATATGTTAGTATTATATATTTCCAGATAACGAGTGGCCCTGGGCATATGACATATTTACAGTTAACCCGTAAACAACAGGGGGGATCAGGGGTATTGGCCCCTCACGCGGTTAACAACCCACGTATAACTTTTGACTCCCAACAAAGACTTAACTACTGATAGCCTTCCGTTGACCAGAAGTCTTACCGATAACATAAACTGCTGCTTTGCACACAATTTGCCTGTTACGTGTCTTACATGCTGCATTCTGACAATAGCATCAGGTGGAAGGAACAAAATGTTATTAAGAACATCCTAAGGCAGAGAAAATACATTTGCAGAACTGTCCTGTGTTTACTGAAAAAGAAAAACAACATCCACGTGGACGTACAGCCACGCAGTTCAAACCGTGCTGTCCCAGGGTCAGCTAAGGCCCGCAGTCCTCTGGACAGTCACTGTGGTGCACGGCGAAAGGAACTTGTCTCCCTTTTCAGGATATTCGAAAACTTAAAAAAAAAAATCTTCCTTTTTTTTAAACCAGGGGACGCAGTAAGTTAGCTTCGTTTCAAAAGAGTCAACATTCAGCGTGCTGGTTGAGAGCTGTATAGGTTTAAACAGATGGATAGATTCGTAGGTGTAAATCAGGTAACGTAAAACGTGAGCATTTGCGATGGTGTGGTTTTTCATTTCGGATTCCTGGTGTCTTTATCCAAAAAAAGAAAAAAAAAACAAAAACAAAAACAGAAAATCGTAAGGTGCTCATGACGCTGTAGCCTTCACCTTAAGCCATCGTGTTACAGGCTGGGCGTGGCCATCTTTTAAGGATGTCACCTGGATTTATAACCTCATTTTGATATTTTTGAGATATCATCAGCTCACAAGCCAGCCCTGCTAGGCCTTTCCTGAGCTGCTGTGTCAAAACCTCGGCCACGCCCCGTTTGCTCACATTGGTCACACGGCATTTCATTGTTTGCTCACAGCCTGGTCGGTAGAATTCAGACGGGCATGCGACACAGGGCACGCGCGCGTCACAGCCACCCAGAAGTCAGTTCTGTGTCGAGGGAACAGCTGTGCCTCATTGAGACAGTCCTCTTTTGCTGTTTCCTTCGAGATGCCATAGTTTAAATTCTATGTATCTTCCTTGTAGCCATTCGCCCTCACTTCTAGAACGTCATCAAAGAAAGAAAAAGACCAATTTTTTTTTTTTTACTTCTAAGCTGATAGTTTTCCATATTATTTATTAACTCAATGTAAGAAGTTGGGAAATAGTGTGAAGTAATTTGCCATTTTTTTTTTTAATGGCTAGCAAAGTTTACTGACGATGGAACAGATTCTGTCTGTGGAGGAAACGCAGATTAAAGACAAGAAATGCATTTTGTTGAGGGTGAAAGGAGGGAAGCAGTTTGTCCTGCAATGTGACGTGAGTTTTTTGGTTGTTTTTTAAAAAACGTGTCCCCTAGGTGAAAGAGCAGCTGTACACATGTGCAGGGGAGGGGCAGAGAGAGAGAAGGAGGGAGAGAGAATCCCAAGCAGGCTCTACACTCTCAGTGTAGAGCCCAGGGCGGGGCCTGAGCTCATGAACCGTCGGTTCCTGACCTGCGCGCAAGTCAGGCGCTCAGCTGACTGTACCCCAAGCGCCTTCGTCTCCTGGTTCTTCTCTTCCCGCGTGTTTGGAGCCGAGGCTTAGGTGGTGAAACAGATACAAGATACCAACGTGACTCATCTCAGGGGAATCCCGTCCTTCTCGCTCCAGGGTTCTAGCACAGCCCAAGTTCAGTTCCTCGGAGGTGCTGGTGTGTGTGTGTGTGTGTGTGTGTGTGTGTGTGTGCACGCACATGGATAGGTGTAGGTGGGCAGGTGGGGGGAGGGGTATGTGTGGGTGTGCCCACCAGAGCATTAGAGAAACCAGCATCAATACCCCAGATGTGCCGGCGTGCAGGTGCTTGTTAATCTGTCAGAGCTCCTCTCTTGGTATTCTTTTACAGGCTTGAGTTTAGAAACCAGAAATCAGAGGGCATTTCTGAACAGATCACCAGCAGTGCTTCAGGCTGGGGATCAGGAGGGTCCCCTGAGGGGCTTCGCCGGCCTGCTTCTGGCGCTAGGCCCCAGAGGAGGGCCCCGTGTGGCCCTCGGGGAAGCGGGCCGCCGCGGGCCAGAGAGCAGCCTGGCACGGCTGTGACCAGAGGCACCTGGCCGTGCGCAGGTCAGGCCAGGCCGCTACAGCGTGTCCCTTTGTGTCTCCATGCAGAGCGACCCCGAGTTTGTGCAGTGGAAGAAGGAGCTGACTGAGACGTTTACAGAGGCCCAGCGGCTGTTGCGCCGTGCCCCCAAGTTCCTCAACAAGCCCCGCCCCGGCGTGGTTGAGCTGTCCAAGCCCCCCCTCTGTCACAGGAACAGCAATGGCCTCTGACACCCAGGGCACGAGGGTCCTGGGGAGACAGGGCCACAAGGAAGCCCTTGCCGGGGGTTTCAGCCCTTGACATGGAGCCTTTTGGAGACGTCCAGGGGTCGGAGGTTCAGTCCCCTTGTCCCCAGGGCCCCTCCACGGCCAGGAGGACCTAGGACACTGAGGTGCCCCTGGTAGGAGCTCTGACTGCCGCCCGGCAGGGGGCCTCTCCCCCCCCCGTCCTCCCAGTGCCTCCTGTGCATCACCTCTGTCCACTCTCGAAACTACTGAAGAAACAAGCGAAAGTTCCTCTCCTTCGTCACCTACCAGTTTGGGCGTACATGAACTTAGGACTTGAAATGATTCCTGCCTGTCCCGTCAGTCTGTATGTCTGATCATCAAACACACGTTACACTTGCCGGGACGGAGCGGCGTCGGGCACAGACAGCCCCGGCGCTGCCCTGTTTTACGTACTGGACCTGTGCGCGCCTGTCCCCCCGCTGCGGGGCCGGACATCAGCCAGGCAAACCGACCTCCCGCTGCTCTGGGCTCAAAGCCGAGGGTACTTGCCGGGAAGGCTGCACGTGGGCGCCCACTGTGGGTGGAACCCCTCCAGTCCCAGCCTGCCTCCGACAGGGAACAGAGGGAGCGTGCCCTCAGAGGAAGGTGGTGGCCACTCACCTCTGAGGGCCCCCCGGCCGCGGAGCCCTGGAAGGCCTGACGGGCCCCGAAGGCGAGGCGGTGGGGTGTGGCGCCCAGGGCCACAGGGATTTTTCAGACGTCTTCAAATAAACGAAATAGCACTTTCGCATGTCTGGGTGCACGCGGACGCCGGGGTGGGGGGGGATGGTGAGTCTGTGCAGGGTTCCGACAGTAGGCGGTTCCAGCGCGTCCCTGTGCCTCGTGCCCCAGGACACGTGTCCAGCACGGGTGTGTGCAGGAAGGAAAGAATCGCTCTGTTTCACCTCACAGCCTAACTTCCAGTGAATCTCACGGGCTAAAGAACGCGAAGATGAAGGTGTCCAGGTGGGCTGACCATGCTGTTGGCTTTTCCATCGTCCTTGGCCTGTCGGTAGTGAGCAGTACTTTGCCCCCGGTGGGGGGGTGGCCCCACACCCCAGACAACGGGGGAGTGCCAAGGCCGTTTGCCTCATCCCCGAGGCGTCGTCTCCGCTCCCACCAGTGTCCTGCGCCCTTTTCACGCCACAAATAAATGCCGGGCTGTGAGCGGATGTTTCCCAGTGAGGCCCCTCCATCGTCAGACTAAAAATAATAACAATAATTTTTATAAAGTCCACATACTTGTCTTCTTAGTGCAATCTTGTTGTGTGTTTCTAAGCTAACTCCTAACAATATAAACAACCGATCGTAACTGTCTGCATCCTGCCCTCGATAATTTCAGTGGGTCCAAATCTCCGTGTCCTGTGTTCAGTGGGAAAGTAAGTCCTTTTCCATGAACTCCTATTTGGAGAGTTTGGAAGGTAATTGGAGAACGTGTTTGATTTCGTAGGAGTTACTTTGGAAAAGGAGTCTGGAGGTTCATGACCCATCTCAGCTACCAGCTGGGGTCTAAATGGGCGTTTCCGTTCTACTCCACGACCACCAGCGGGGAGGAGGGGTGTCCTATGTACGGGCCTGCCCCTGTTTACAAGGCAAGACCTGCGTTCACATTGTGTTTAAAAGAAGAAAGAAAAGAAAAACCAAACCAAACAAAAAAACCTGCTAGCAACAGAAAAGCAGTTGTTCCTCATAGAGGTTGAGCGCCTTCCCGGCCATGGCTAACAACAGCTGTCGCTGCTGTCACCGGGCCGGTGGCAGGCTCCCACGCCCTCAGCAGTTACAGTTTGCTGCGCCCGGAGTCCCCGCTGGATAGAGTCAGGGACCCCGTGCACAGACTCCTCCAGGGGCTGGGCTTGGCCTCTCCACTTTCACACCGAGAGCGTCAGCCGCACCAGCCTGCAGCGAAGATACCATTTTTGCTCCAGAGTAGAAGGGGTCTTTTCGAAAGGAGACGTGACTTGGAAAATATCCTAAGGGCCCTTCCACCTCACCTTTCATTCCCAGTGCTGGGGGCTTGTCTGGCCTGTCTCCTTCCTACCTGCATTTGTCCCCACGGGCGTTCTCATGGGGCCGGCTTCTCCGCTGCCAGACGGAAGACACCTCTGGGACCCTTCTGTGCCTGTGTGGCCTTGCGTGGCCAAAGTAGGCTGCTGGTTTGTTTTGTTATTATTTTTTTAATTTTTTTTGTGTGTGCATGTGAGACAGCATGAGTGGGGGAGGGGCAGAGAGAGAGGGAGACACAGAATCTGAAGCAGGCTCCAGGTTCTGAGCTGTCAGCACAGCGCCCGATGCGGGGCTTGAACTTACAAACCACAAGATCATGACCTGAACTGAAGTCGGATGCCCAGCCGACTACACCTCCCCAGGCGCCTCAGGCTGCTGGTTTAGAAGCCTTGGTGCACTTGGCTGTTTCAGAAGGTTTAAGAGTGTCACACCATTCCTAGAAGTTTGGCCCTTCCTATGTTTGGACCATTACAAAGGACAAAATTCACACATTTTCTCATCATTCAAGGAAGATGAAGTTGATAGTATTTTTATAAAGTTATACCGTCTTGATTTCATAAATCGAGGGAATTAATAGAGCAAAGTCAAAAAATGAAGATTACCTCTACCTGCTCTACAGCATGTACGGAATCCATGACAAACGTGAGTCCAAGGTTCTTTTTTTAAGCTGAAATATTCTCTCTGGTGCAGTCGCTCCTTCACGGCACTGCGGGTCGTGGTTTTCCCTTCCGTGTCATGTTGAAGTATGCTTTTTCAGGAAAACTTTTAGAAATTAGCTGGTTCAGTGCTAATGGAAATGATTGACCGGTTCACTGACATTATGGTTTCAAAATCCGTAGAAGGGCCAGCCGCAGAGGACGACAAGTGTCCCACTCAAGAAAGACCACAACGACAACACAAAACCATCTGTTGGAAGCAAGACTTCGCTCAATTTGTGATTTGACCTGTGCCACACGGATAGCAGAAACCATTGTGTTAAGGCCCTCGCAGGCCATTAAAAAATACCTTTTACCAATCGACAGTGAGCTTTAACTACACAAGATAAGATCCACGTGTGGTTTTTCTCTGATGAGTTACAAAACTTCACTCGTAGTCGGGCCAATTCAATCACAGCATTTGCCCTTTCGATGGAATCAATTTTTCATGTCAGGAAGAAAACCAGGTTCGCAACGTTGGACCTCTTTCACACGATGTAAATGTATAAAACATACTTTGAAAGATGCTGGTGTAAAGATAAGACTTATTTTGTAAGACTTGATCACACATGGTTTTTGGGTTTCTCTCTCAGTCATGTTCAGGGAAGTGTTTCTGGGCTGTGCAGACACGCCTGATGAATTACCTCCTCTCCGCCGCTAAGGATTGACACAGTTGTGCCGGAGAGGAGGGGGACAGGAGTTTCCGGAGTCTGTCACAGAGTGGTGGCTGGGGGGCCGTGGGCTGAAGGAGTGGGTGTATTGGGTGACCTCCCCCCCCCGACAAGAGCAGTGGTAGAAATGGGGCAAAGGAAGGAAGACGTTAACTTGCAGGTAAAAACTCAACAACCTTTACACCAAGCACCACGCAAATGCCTGAGTTAAAGTTGGCTGATTCTTTCCCTCCTTGAAACAGGAGTTAAATAGGAATTATTGCAAGACACGGTCACTTTATTTTCAATTATGGAGCCTCTAAACTTATAAACAGACCACTGGCTTTCCATCAGGCCTCTGCCCAGCACCCAGAGCTAACACCCTATTTGTGCATGCCTTGCAGCCACCCGGAGGGCCAGATGCGGGGTCTGGGTGGCTGTCCCCAGGGCCCTGTGGCCAGCTGCAGACTGTCGCAAATCCACTGAAGCCACAGGAAGCCCCTCCCCACCCCCCTCGAATAACAGCCCTGGGCTTGCTGTCTAAGCCATGCCCACTTCAGGATGAGCTTTAATATGGGGCGTCTGGCTGGCTCCGTCCATCAGCACAGCCCGCAACTCTTGATTCTCGGGGTTGTAAGTTTGAGCACCATGTTGGGTTAAGAGATTACTTAATAAAATCTTCTGAGTGAGTTCTACTAGTTTAAACCTTGAAAACGTTTTTTCCCAAAAGATCTAGCCTGAGTTCCCCTCCCATGAAAGGTTGCCTTGAGAGGTTTGAATTACTTAAATTCATATGAATATGAATTCTTTTTACCCAGGCCACATTCAAATAATGTGTCGAATTAATGAAAGTTGAACTCTAAAATAATAGGATTTCCTCAGGTTGTAATGGACTGTAGATTTCTTTCACCCTCAGAGACTAATAGACCTGCTCTTTTATAGCCAAGGACAGGGACACCCCCGCCCCCCTGGCAGTGCCCCGTGCCCAGCCACTCACTGATGTGGCCGGGAGCATTGACCAATAAATTCAGCACCCCAAATGTTAAATTACCTTTATTTAAACACACACACACTACAGAAAATGGATTAACAGTATATGCATTTCATCAAAAACCTACAAGAATAAAAACTGCCTTTTAAGATTTCCATAACTCAACATTCTTAGAGGACATTCTCTGATACCACAATCTCAAACTCCTCTCTGAAAACTGTTAACTCTGCTCCCATATTTTCTTCTGTCCTAATATAAAATGCCTTTTATGTAAGGGTAGGGAATGGAGAAATATTTCTAACCATGCACTCATACTTACAAAGGACTTGAAATTGAATTTCTCTCCGGTGTCTCAGTTGATTAATATCCCATGATGTATATATCGTATGTGGTTTGTAAGCTAAACACTGGCCATTTTTTAAGTTCTGTTGTTGAATTGTATTTTTCTATGTTTTAAATGATTATAATAGATTGGGCTTTTTCCGGGTAACATAAAGATCGCTAAACTGCATATATAAATATATATATATAAACAGAGTTCTATTTTAGCACAAAAGCATTTTATATTATTTATTGAATCCTTAACGCTTGTTTTCATCGAAGTATTCTTTATTTCTCCTTTTCATTTGTATAGTTTGTTATTTAAAGAAAGGCCGTCCTTTCTGTTTTTCACAAACTAAACTAGAAATAACGCGCACAGCCACGCGGGGTGACAGCCGTCCCCAGCCACCACTGGCTGTTTTCAGCAACAGCTTTCCGTCTGCTCTGTGCCGAGAGGCGCCTGCGCCTTCTCGACAACATCTGACCGCAACCTTGCCATGAAATACTGCTCTCATCTACCTCTTCAGAAACCATCCTGCTCATTGACAGGTACCCCAGACGCTTCCTTCTACACTGGCTGCGCCATAAACACGTCTCGGTAACGCATTTCGGCGGGACTCCCTCTTGCTGTCAGTTTTAAAGCCACAGCGTCATGGAAGCGCGGGGGGCAGGTGCACCTCTCTTCTGTGTCGTTACCCTCAGGAGCCAAGAGCCACCTGCGGAATGTCCTTTCCTGCTCTGATGTGCCCAGTCCCCACAACTGGTCTTGCCATTGCCCCGGGACTCGACTGTTGCGCCTTACTTACCAAGCACTGAACGAAAGGTCTGCCCTGGGCACGTGCCACGAATGGCCAGCTGCGTTTAAGAACACCACTTCCAGGAGCTGCACATTTGACCTTGATTTCCCCTGCCCCCTCACTGCTTCCCAGTGGTTTGGAAAATGGGATCAGAAAGGAAATTGCCCTTGTAGAGGATTAAAACTTTGCAAGAGGTTTTATGTGTGAGGGGTCTTATTTTCGGGCGGACAGACCCTTCAGGTCTATGTGAGCCAGAATGGCCGGTCCCTGGGAGAAGGGGGGTCCCTCCTCATGTGCTGACATTTCTCTCTGCCCGTCTTCCTTGCTGGGCAGCCATCAACGCGGTATCATGTTTACTGTATTCTTGGCAAAGTGTCACACTGTAAAGAAAGAAATCTGCTTCCTGTTGTGCATTGCCCTATGGCATTAGCTATTGTCAATCTAGATATTGTGCCTGTAAAATTACCCTTTGGTTTGACCTCTCCCCACATTGATTGTGCCAGTGGAGGTCGATAGCCCGCCCCCAGTAGCCACTTAACTAATACACGTTTGAAGTCCTATCCCACGTGCGCCACGGTTATGTCAGAGCACGAGGCTGGTTTTCCATGTTGATAAACTGCTTATCTAAAATCTCAATAAACAGCATCTGTACAAAGATATCTACTCTGGCGTGCTAAGGGTACGTGGGAGGGGCTTTTTGCAAGCAAAAAGGAAGCGCCTCCACGACCCGCATTTTGTTCCACGGTCTCACGGATAATTGCTGCTCTCTCTTCTAAAGCAAGCACTCCCTGCCTCCCTCCCTACCCCTCCTTCCCAGTCCTGCCCGACGCACGTGGCGTGGACCCAGGGCAGCG